TTCTTTCCCTCCCCTCTTTTTTGCTGAGGAAAACCTGTAATGTGGTCCTTACTTACATTCAGGCCTACATCTGCTTGGGAAGCTAAGACAATGACAAGACAAGTCAGTAAAAGATAAAAATTGTAGGATATTCAAGAATCCATATAATTGCCAATGAATTTTACAGACCACTGTCCCTAAGAATTTCAAGAAAGGATATAATCAATCCAGGCAGAGATAGTTTGGAGCTGGCCAGTGATGACCTGGTAAGAGTATCTTTCCTGGGCCGGGGATTTAGCTCAGTGGTTTTGCCGCCTGCTGCTCAAGCGCAAGGACCCGAGTTCGATCCCTAGTACCAAAAAAAAAAGAGTACCTTTTCACTTGCTCCAATGACTTGTGGTTCCCTAGTACATTGTCTCCAATCCTTTTTACACAAAGGAAAATATGGGAATTACCTTCTGTTGATAACATTTTCTGCAAAGCCAGGTTTGTAGTTTTTGTTTCCTAGGCTTCCCCAACCGTTACTCTTCAGTTCCTCTTACAGATGATGTAGCTAGCTTGTGTCAGCCTCTCCCATCATCTAAGTGCTGTCCTGCACTGCTCCAGGTTAGTGTGAGGGTTCTAATAATATTTCCTTATTCTTTAGCCAAGAATATACCTCCCCTTGCTAGATGCTATGAAATACATAATACTGACCTGTGATTGTATTATGAAACATGAGACAACAGCAGATCTACGTCTCACAGACATAAAGAAGTTGGACATCACATGTGAATTAGTCATTACCCTGTTTTGTTTTGGTACCGGGATTGAGCTCAGCACCTTGTGCTTGCAAGACAGGTGCGGTGCCACTGAGCTAAAACCCCGGCCCATTACTCAGTTTTTTATTCTATGCAAGCATAATGCTTCCTTAATTTCCTTCAAAGCATTCTGTCCTCTTATTGGGTTCATGCCTTGATTTCATTTACCTCCAGGCATATTGTTAACTCCAAGCACCAAAACCTGCTTCCAGAACATAGATATAGGCATGGGGTATAATCCAGACGATTTTTACAGACTTAGATAATGGCTGTGCTTCTTAAATTGAGAAGAGCAATTTATCTCTTTAGGTTTTTTCTTTAACAAGATAATATGATATTTGTTAATCTTTTTCAGTGAAATTTATCACCCTTTTTCCCCTTTTTTGTGTATTTCTAAAATATACTTGGAATATATTTTTTAATTCACTGAAAAGGCAGTAATACCCCTTTACTTTAGTCACCTTTCTCGGAAACATAAGGAACACATCCAAGAACCAGGAACTGAGGAATGAATGAAGGTTTCTGAGGAGGTGAAGTTGTTAGAAAATCATGTACTCATAAAACCATTCCTCAAGTCCTCATTTAGAGCTATTTTATTTCACTTAAAGTACCATTCTAATTCTTGGAAATATTTTCAAAGCTAGTAAATGAAAGTACACACTACTAAAGGGAAAAGTAGAGCTGCTAAGATTAGCTGCTATTTGGAAGTCAGTAAGAAAAATTTTAATAAAATACAGATGACTAAGTGTGGCTTTTTTAAATTTAGGGAGTCAGATTTCCTTGACTAGCTACCCAGACTATCAGTATATGAGTTCAGTACACTAAAAATAATTACCTAATGTTCACTCACATGGTAATGATCCTGATGAGAAAGAAAGAATAAATGTGTCCAGAGATAATGTAATTTTCTAGAGATTTCCATCTGAAATATTTTAAAATTTTGCTTGGAATGATGGCACATGCCTGTAATCCCAGCTACTTTGGAGGCTGAGGCAGGAGGGTCACAAACTTGAGGCCAGGCAGGCCAATTTAGCGAGACCCTGTCTCAAAATATTTTAAAAGGCTGAAGATGTAGCTCAGTGGTAGAGCACTTAAACAAGATCCTTGGCTCAGTTTCCAGTTTTTTTGTGTATTTTGAGATAAGGTCTCACTCTGTAGTTCAGGCTGACCTTGAACTTGTGGCTTTTTTTTTTTTTTGGTACTGGGGATCAAATTCCGGTCCTTGCGCTTGCGCAGCAGGTGGCGAAACCACTGAGCTAAATCCCTGGCCCGAACTTGCGGCTTTAAAATCTTGAAACTTGAACTTAGTCTTTAAAATCTGGCCTTGAACTTGGTCTTTAAAATTGGCCTTGAACTTTGGTCTTTAAGATCTCCTTGAGTTAGGAACAGAGAAACTAAAATTGTTGGAGCACCTACTCTTTTGTGGTTTATACTTTATATAGTATCTAATATCTCACAGCAGTCCCTTGAGATACCGAAATTCAGTCCAATTTACAGATGAGGAAGCCAAGGTTCAGAGAGGTTTAGTAACTTGCATTAGATCCTGTAAATAGTAAATGTCAGAGCTAGAACTGGAATCTAGGTGTCTCATATTCCACAGCCTGTAACTACACTGCCAGTGGAGGATGGGAAGGTAGAGACTAATGCAGGCTGTCTGGGGTAAGCCTTGCTATAAAGGCAGTTCATGACTGAGAGGTAAAAGTCAAAGATGGTAGAAGAGAATTAGAAGATATGATCAAATGTGTGTTCAACAAACACATTTATTAATCTGCCTTTTGCCATGTTTCACACTTAGGTAATAGTCTCATGTGGAATTAAATGCAGAGAGAGGGAAATTGAGAAGTTGTGTCAAACTTGAGGATAGTGAAGCACTCCAACTGCATGGGCTTAGTAGAACCCAGACATCCGAAAGCACAAAGCAGCTACTCAAAACTCTTGACTGTCTAAGCAGGCATTGCCTGTAGCATGTCTTGAGTCTAGTATCATCTCTTCCTACCCCCACCCCCAAACTGTCTCGGTCAAGCTGTAAGAGTTTATCCTAGCTATCTTAGGAAATTAGTTAAAAGAGATTCTTTAATGTAGGATGACTTCTTGTGGATGATTGTAAAGTATTTATTGAAAGTCTGGGGAATATGCTAGCCAGGGCTTGTATGATGTATTTCTGCTACTTTGCCTTGTAGCAGTATTGTACCTTGCATTGTCTCACTTGTAGTTTACATTGTGATTTCATATCTGTTACCTCATTTAAAAGCTAGTCGGGACTTGCTTGTCACTCATCTGTTTAATATCCCTGAAATGTGAAATTATTCATTTCTATTGGTACATGCTCTAGAAAAGGATAAAAAGATTCCCACATCACATTTACCAATTGTCCAGCCAATTGCTTTTACTGAGAAATCATCTTAACCACTTAGCAGCCCAATTATTTAAATACAAGATGACCAAAAATTGCATATTTTTCATTAATTTTTATAAGATAATGCAAGAAATATAAAAATGAGAATTTTATCAAATTTATTCAGTACAAGAATCAGCTGGTTGAGGACTGGGGATTTAGCTCAGTGGCACTGTGCCTGCCTCACAAGCACAAGGTCCTGAGTTCGATCCTTGGTACCCAAAAAAAGAGAATCAACTGGTTGAAATGACACCTGCTCAAGCACCACTTGGGATAGTACATAAACATGACACCCGAGTGACACCTGGGGTAAACTGTTAAGTGGTTAAAACTATTAAATTCTCTAAATACTTCTAAGTCAAGACTTGTATAGTGTGGCTGAATTTATGTCAGTGTTGTAGATTATTTAACAGGAACACCTAGGCCTGAAGCAGAAGTACAGGTTGTTTTCCTTTCTTTTTTTTTTTTTGGTACCAGGGATTAAACTTGGGACCTTGCGCTTGCGAGGCGGGCGTTGGAACCACTGCACTAAATCCCCGGCCCAGAAGTGCAGGTTGTATATTCCTTATCCTAAATGCTTAGGACCAGAGGTTTTTTTTTGTTTTCCTTTCTTTTTTTTTTTTGGTACCAGGGATTAAACTTGGGACCTTGCGCTTGCGAGGCGGGCGTTGGAACCACTGCACTAAATCCCCGGCCCAGAAGTGCAGGTTGTATATTCCTTATCCTAAATGCTTAGGACCAGAGGTTTTTTTTTTGTTTGGTACCAGGGATCGAACTCAGGTCCTTCTGCTTGCAAGGCAGGTGCTGGAACCACTGAGCTAAATCCCTGCCCCCCCCAGAAGTATTTTTGATTTGAGATTTTTTTCAGATTTGGGAATATTTACATGTAATAATAAGGAATCTTGAAAGTGGGAACCAAGGCTAAACACAGAATCATTTGTTTCATGTACACCTTATGCACATGGCCTAAATGTAAGCTTATATAGTATTTTAAATTTTTGTTTGTTTTTTGTTTCTTTTTCTTTTGTTTTTGAGACAGGATCTCATTGTGTAGTCCAGGCCAGCCTTGAATTGACTGTATGCCCAGGCTGGCCTTAAACTCATGATCCTCCTCCCTGAGACTTCTAAGTGCTGGGATTTCAGGTGTGCATCACCATGTCCAGCTGTATATTTTAAATAATTCTATACATAAAGTTTAATGGTATGGAAATTTCCACTTGTGCCATTATGTCGTCACTCAAAAAATTTCCTATTTTAAAGATTTTCAGTTTAAGGTTGTTCAGCCTGGCTATATTGACCAAGTAGAGTTAATAGTGTGGCCAAAATTGTATGTTGGGGGGAAAATTATTTTAATCTTCTCTATAAAATAAAAAGTTTTTTCTGAATGATCATTTAAGTATTAACAATATTACAGAAATTTAGGTCGGGGATTTAGCTCAGTGGTTCTACCACCTGCTTGGCAAGTGCAAGGTCCCAAGTTCGATCCCAGGTACCAAAAAATATTTAGATTATAATTTTCCCTTTAAATTAGGTATTCTTAGGCTGGTTATTTAGCTCAGTGGTTCTGCCGCCTGCCTCGCAAGTACAAGGTCCTGAGTTCGATCCCCAGTATCAAAAAATAAATAAATAAATAAGGTACTCTTTTATTGAATCAGAAGTTATTTGGTGAATTTATTTATTTTTTTAATGTGATGAATTTAGAATCAGTTTTGGCCATAGTTCCTACTCTCTTTACAATATAATTAACATCTGGTGAATTTTAAAGTGTAAAATTGGTGCTTTAGGAAATGACCATACTAATTTCTTCTTTCTTTTTGTCCTTCTAGTGAGAGCTCAGCAGAAACACTAGCAGTAGATTCTAACAATCAGTCGAAGTCCCCCCTGGAGAAGTTTATGGTCAGACTCTGCACTCATCATCAGAAGCAATTCATTCGTGTTCTGAGCGACCTGTACACTGAATCTCAGCCAGACACTGAGGATCTGCAGACTTTGGATTCTGGAACAATGGATGCATCATCTTGCAATGCTGGCTGTGCCCAGCTAAGCAGCAGACATAAGGAAAATGATGCTATGTGCCTCGATAGGAAGTCTCCTGCTTCTGTAGATTTGTTTGTAGACTCACTGGGCTCTCACAGCTCTCTGCATATGACAGAACAGACACCGAAGGAGTCTCCTCCTGAGACAAACTGTGTAGATGGAAGAGAGAATGCCTTGACTGTTGTCCAGAAAGATTCCTCTGAACTTCCAGCCATTCAACCTAATTCTGGCAGTTCAACAGATAGTTCCACTCTGGGATACCGCACTGCATCTAATTCTTCCTCTTTGAACTCCCACTACATCTCTAAAAGCTTGGAGGGGCAAACCACTGGACAAGAGCAAGACCCAAATGTGAAAACATGTGAGGATGGTAAAGACCATATGCAGAGTTCAGCTTTAATAGAAAGTCTAATTACAGTAAAAATGGCTGAGAATAGTGAGGAGGGCAATAGCTGTATTGTTTCTCAAAGAAATTCATTCAGAGCTTTATCAGAAGAGACATGGGACTCAGGGTTTATGGGGAACTCACCTAGAACTGCTGACAAAGAGAATGCTTTACAGTGTAGCTCAAAAACACCATTGCACCAAGATTTAGAGGCAGATGAACAAGATGCAAGGCCAAAGCAAGAGAACCATCTTCACTCACTAGGAAGAAATAAGGTGGGTTACCATTCACATCCCAGTGACAAGGGCCAGTTTGATCATTCCAAAGATGGTTGGTTAGCCCCCAGCCCCATGCCAGCTGTACACAAAACAGCTAATGGACACTCACGAACCAAGATGATACCATCTTCCATCAAGACAGCTCGGAAAAGTAAAAAGGCATCAGGGTTGAGGATAAATGATTATGATAACCAGTGTGATGTTGTTTATATCAGTCAGCCAATAACAGAATGCCACTTTGAGAATCAAAGATCCATGTTATCTTCTCGGAAAACAGCCAGGAAGAGTACTCGAGGATACTTTTTCAATGGCGATTGTTGTGAGCTACCAACTGTTCGCACATTGGCCAGAAATACACACTCCCAGGATAAAGCAAGCTGCTCCTTACTAGCATCAGAAGTTAGTAATGTGACTCCCAAGCAGACCCTAACAATTTCAGCCCCTAGGCATACAGTAGATATTCAGCTTCCCAGAGAAGATAACCTTGAAGAACCTTCCAAGGAAATAATTTCTTTCAAGGAGGGAGACAGAGACACTTCATCTGCAGAAAAGTCTCAAGAGCCTGAAGTTTGCCCCATAATAAATGAACCAAATCCCAGAAGCTCTCCTAGGTTGGGGGAGACAACAGCCCCTAGCCTGGCATGTTCTTTGCCTGCTTGCCTCCCTGAAGAGGATGTGCTGGAAAGCAGAACCATGATCTCGGCTCCCACAGCAAGTGTGGTGTCTCCCGAACAAGATCAACAACGAGTTGCCTTGCCAGATGTGGAGGACATGAGTATACTCCAGGACTGCCACTTGGTTCCCCCAACTGAAAGCATTTCTGGGGGAGGCAATGAAGAAGTCCCTTCTAGGCCTGAGTCTCCTCTTGAAACAGTCAGTAGAGAAGAAAATCCTCTGTTCTCAGAAAATCAAAGTCCTCCTGTGGGCTGGGAGCCTCCCCTGAGTCTGGGACAGGCTGAGCACAAGCAAAGCTTCAATACTGAGGTTGGGACTGAAGATACTCAAGAGCTACATACTGAACCATTCCTGAAAGCAAGCAGCACTTTTCATAATGAAAACCCCAGTGAGATTGAAGAAGGTGAAGCAATATGTGGTACAGAATACCTAGAGGGAGAGGAAAGTGCTATAAAATCCTCTTCAGAAAAAATTACCTGTGATCCAAACATTGACTCACGTGAAGAGAACTTGGACAAGAAGAAAAAAGGTAAGAAGTTCCCTGAGGCCTCTGATAGATGCTTAAGAAGTCAGCTTTCAGATTCTTCCTCTGCCGATAGGTACCTAAGAAATCAAAGTTCAGATTCTTCCTCTGCTTGTCCTGAGATCAAAGTTTCTAAAAATTGTGGAGCAGAGGATTCTGAAAAAGAAGAAGACCCTCCTGGGACAACACCTGAGGGCTTTCTGAATGATAGTTTTTGTACAGACATTCTGGAAGAAACTGAAAATACAAATGCCAGTGAATGCCCCTCTGAGAAAGAGGTTGAGCACGAGGGTGGAGGAGGAGGCATCATTACAAGGCAGACTTTTAAAAACATGCTGACAAAAGAAGTCAAGAGGGAACAAGGAGAGATCTCTCCTAGCAGGGATCCCATACCCACAGTTGGCCAGCCACTGCCTGGAGAGAGACTAGAAATCTATGTCCAGTCTAAGGTGAGTGAGGAAAATGCTCATGCGCCCTCAGAACATATTCTTTGTAAGAGGAACCTAGAGCAGCCAAATGAGAGGCCAGGACACATTCCCACACAGGATGTGGAGGCAGTTTTAAATAAAGTAGGCAGTGAGGATACCGGGCATAAAGATGATGTTAACCACGCCCCATCTAGCTCAGCTGAGATGTCAGGTAGTCAAAATGATGATTCTCCTGGGCCACCAAAATTGGTACCAAGACCTAAAAGATTGACCTCTTCAACCTACAACTTGAGACATGCTTACTCCCTAGACTCCTTGGATACTACAAAAGTGACTTCAAAAAAGGAAGCCACACCAATAAACCCAATGCCAAAGGAAAATGAAGCTTCAGAGAGTGCAGATCCTTTAGATGAGGAGGATGTGGACACAGTAGTGGATGAACAGCCAAAGTTTGTGGAATGGTGCGCAGAGGAGGAGAACCAGGAGCTCATCGCCAACTTTAATGCCCAGTACATGAAAGTTCAGAAGGGGTGGATCCAGTTGGAGAAAGAAGCACAACCAACACCAAGAGCAAGGAACAGGTCAGATAAACTGAAGGAGATTTGGAAAAGCAAGAAAAGGTCACGGAAATGCAGGGGTTCATTAGAAGCTCAAAAGTTTTCTCCTGTTCAGATGTTATTTATGACAGACTTTAAATTATCTAATGTTTGCAAATGGTTCTTAGAGACAACTGAAACCCGGTCTCTGGTCATTGTGAAGAAGCTCAATACTCGTCTTCCAGGGGACATTCCCCCTGTCAAGCATCCTCTTCAGAAATACTCTCCTTCCAGCCTGTATCCCAGTTCACTGCAGGCTGAACGTTTGAAAAAACACTTAAAGAAATTTCCTGGAGCTACTCCTGCAAGGAATAATTGGAAAATGCAGAAACTCTGTGCTAAATTTCGAGAGAATCCTGACCAACTAAACCCAGATGACAGCAGTGATGTCAGCCTCAGCCCTAATTCTGAGGGCAGTATAGAGGAAGTCAAGGAAGATAGAAATAGCCACCCTCCCACAAACCTGCCTACTCCAGCCAGTACACGGATCCTCAGGAAATATTCCAATATTCGAGGAAAGCTCAGAGCCCAGCAACGATTGATCAAGAATGAGAAAATGGACAGCCCTGCAGGTGTGGCAGTGGAAAGTAAGCAGAGTCGTAAAAGTGTGTGCATCAACCCTCTTATGTCCCCCAAGCTTGCCCTCCAGGTGGGTGCAGATGGGTTTCCTATTAAGCCCAAGAGTACTGAAGGAATGAAGGGAAGGAAAGGAAAGCAGATGTCTGAAATCTTGTTTAAAGCCGAAGTTCAGAGTAAACGGAAGAGAACAGAAGGCAGCAGCACCCAGGACAGTAAGGACAAGGCACTGACCATGAAAGCTGGCAAAGAAAAGCATGTTGAAGGACCCACCAAAACCCCTTCTGCCAAGAAGCCATCTGTAAGGGACAGAGTCAGCCAGCTGCCAAAAAAAATGTCTTTGAAAGAGAATAAAGTGAAGATCCCTAAAAAGTCCTCTGGGAAGTGCTACCCTCCTTCCAAGAAAGAAAAAGAGAATACAAACAAAAGACCTGCCCAACCTACCACCTCAGAAGCACTGATGAAGCCTGCAAAACAAAAGGTATCAGGTGAATCTTCTTCCAGGCCCCAGAAAGCCATGAATAGAAAGCCAAGCAGTGGGAAGACTAGGACCAGACCCTTGACAAAAGGCCCAGGGAACAGTGCAGCCCAGAGAAAGCGAAAGCTTAAGGCAAAGCTAGACTCTTCCCACAGCAAACGGAGACGGTTGGATGCAAAGTGATGGAAGGATGGCAGCAAAGAGTGAAACTGTTCTGTAGAAGTAACCTTTTATTTTGCATTAACTAAATCCGCTTTTATAAGCTTATCAAGCCTTTCAAATTACAATTAATAGAAAACACAGTTTGAGATGTCAGAAAATGCGTCTCAGGTAGAGAAGAGAACTTGTAGAGTCCTTCTCTGAGATTGAGTAAGGGAAGTTATATATTATATTCTGGTTGTTCCTTGGGTTTTAAACTTGGAACCAAGCAGTTTCTGTTTTAAAAAGTACAGTGCCTTATTTATCCTTTTTGTTTTAAAATTTACAAAAGCTAAAAAGCTGATCTATGTGATTAAAGGCTTGTATTTTATACTTGATGCACAAGCACTTGTACTGTAGCCAAGAAGACCACCGTTATGCACATGAAAGGAGCTTTCAGCAGCCATCCTGCAGCATCTGCTCCCGAACAGACGCCCTCTGCAAACCACAGCAGCAACTTCCCTCTCTGTCATGTTTGTTTTTTGTTTAAGCGATATTTGAAAGCTAAACCAAATCATTTTTATGGTATGTGGAGAATGCAGAGGATATATAATTATAAAAGCTTAATATTTGTTACCTTCTTTAAAAAAATCATATTCATTGTTGGTCACTCTTCTCACCTTTTTGTTTTGTTTCGTTTTTGGTCTTTTTTGTCATTTGAGAACATCTTCTCTAAATCTCATGCCCATGGGACAAAAAGAGTGTCACAAATACTCATTTTGGTTTACAACCTCTAAAACTTATTTGCATCCCCAAACTTTATTGTCTGTATTAAGCCTTGCAAACTAGCCTAGCATTCTAACAGATATTTTTCCTATTTTAGAAAAAAATCTTTTTTATCTTGTAGTTGTAATTTGATGATTAAGATGAAAGTGAGTATTCCTATTTTTTCTTACCCAGAGTACTTCCCTATTCAGATAAGCCAAAATATTATTTCTGTTAATAGGAAATTTTAAGAATATGGGTGCACATGTGCATTTGGATGCATTTGCATGTGGTTATCAGCTGCAAATGTCTCCCAATACCAATTTTACAGAAAATTATTTCTTCCCCATGCAGTGTGTTCATGAAGCTGAGTAATTAGCACAGGCCATCTGGTTTAAAAGTGGCCCAGTGACTCCATGTGCATCCTAATACCATGTTAGCACCAGATTCTGAGAGTTATGAACAGCACAGTTATATAGAATTAGAGCCCCTGGCAGCTGGAGGAAGCTGCCCCAGCAGTCAGTTGGGTCCACCCCCCTACACACAGAATTGAGGTTCAGCTAGAATGCACCAAGTGAATGTATTTGTCTGGAGTGGATGTCTTTGTAGATTGATTAGTGCCATCCTAAGTGGTTAAATGCTGATAGTATTACCCCTCCCCATATCTCCTCCATGTGATCTATTCCATGGCCCAAAAGTGAGAATTGCAATATTTGTAATTGATGTTGTTTGCCTTTTCTAGGTAAAGCTTGAAATGGGCCCATTGGCTTTACTCAGTGCCTATGACATTGCTCTGCTTATAGCATAGTGTGTACTTGACATTTCCATTGGGCCACTGCAAAAAAAAAAAAAGGCTTGGTTGTTAAAGTCTCAGCTGCTTTAACATGTTCTGTCACCAATACAGGCTAGTATGTACAGCTATTGCCTTGTCCTTCTTTAAAAAAAAAAAAATTCCATTTAGGTTTTGGATCTCTATATAAACCCAGATTTATTTTTTTGTGCAGATCATGATAAAAACAAGCTGCCTACCCCATTCTATTAAAGGTTTGCTGTGTGTGATAGAAACTTCTGATTGAATAGGACTAGGGAAAACCATTTGATTCATGAGGAATTGAGAGTTGTGTTGTATTTCACAGACAGTGAAGTTACTATCTTTAGTGAAGCCCTCTCTTTGTGTGTGTGTGTGTGTGTGTGTGTGTGTGTGTTTAATGTCTCTTCTATTTCAGGAGTCTTTTGTTTTTCTTGTTATTATCTTTGACTTGGGCCATTCAAGAGCTACCTATATTAATGAAACTGCTGAGTGTGTGCGTTGGCAGCCCTTTTTCAGCATTAAGTTGCACAGAAGCATTAATATGTTTTGAATAAGTTCATTTAATCTTAAAATTTGTTTTAAGGTTTAAACAACTAACTTTTCATATAGTTTTCACTGGATACTGTTTTTGTGGTGACTTAAAGAGCTGATGTTTGCCAATGTCAGGTGTGCTGATTCCTGTACATAAGAGGTGCTCCCTTGGCTGCTTATAGGCTACCTTGTAAGGTGCTTGGGTTAGGTTAGGGAGAGGAGTGAGATAGATAGTAAGATGGTGGAACTTTTCTAGTTCCAAGTTTATAAATCATTCCATTACTTTTCTAAAATCTTTTTCATTTTTAAAAGCTCACTTCAAGATAACGGCCATCTCTCATTCTAGGCTGCATTTAAGAAAGTTTGTGTATATTATACATTTAATGCAATAGATCATATTTTAAATGGTCTTACACTTTTCAACAGTTTCTACATTTAAATAGACTGAAATTCTAAAAAGTTAGGAGACTTAAAACTTTAGAAATGTTTTGGTTGAATCTCATCTTTACTTACTCAGTTAATTTTGCTAATAGAAGAAAAAAAAACAAAAATAAAACTTGAGGGCCAACACTGGAAGGTCCTCTTGCACCTAAAACGGAGGCTGGAAAGCTGTCTCTTAAACACCTCCAAGCCCAGACTTGATATGAACTCCAGTTTCCTCTTGTTTTCCCTCCTTTGAAAAGACCTCCTTCTTATAAACCATTTTTAAGTATGGCATGCTACCAGATGTAAAGGCAGTTTGTCCCACATTCTGGATCCCAAATCACAAAAGAAATTCTGCTCCAAGGCCTATACTCAGTGAAATGACTGCCTCAGTGGTGGAGCTGAAGTTGATGACCAGAGATCTGATATTCCCTGAGTTTCTGGAGGAGCTAGAAGATACCTGGGAAACCATCAGTGGAGTTGTGCCATAGCTTCTCCAAAGCTGGGCCCTGTTTGGGAAACCCATTTCCTATCTCATCAGGCTCTCTAGTGGTGGGGTTGCTCCTTCAGTTGAGGTTCAGAGCCTCACTCCATCATTTCCTCAGACTGTGGCAGTCTTGCAGTGCAACAGGAAGGTCACAAACCTTTCTTTACTCATGTTTGCTAATCAGCACTTGCTAGCCCCTGGGATTCCTTATTAAGAACTTCTACATAGAACTATCTAAAACAGTAATCTTTGAGTGTGGGTTTGTGCTTCATTATTCCTGTAATGGTACAGAGAGAAGGCATGCATTAGTCATCCCTTTACATGTGGTGCTTTCTCAAGGAATCTTCTGTGCACTATATACTGTGCAGGTGAATTTCTCACTGTTCAATTATGTCATCAGTAAAATTCATCACTCCAAGACAGCTGCTTTGAGTTGAGGTTTGCTTCCCACTTTGTGATAGATTCTGCAATGAGGGCAAAAGCTATCACTCATTTACGGACACCATTTCTGTTGATCAGTGGACATAAGAGCCCAGAAGGAGATGATGAGATGATGCAAGCAGAAGATGCTCTAGTATAAAGCAACAGCAAGTCTGGTGTCTTTGACAACACCTGGGACGGAGCTTTAATACCCCAAAAGGGCTGGCCAGTAGAGAGAGAGCCACCCTGCCCCTTTTGTTTTCAGGTCAGCTGGTATAGGATTCTTTTTGGCTTGCAGCTGATCTAAAGGTCTGCACACTGTGAACTGGTTGTTAGTAATAAAGTTTTGTTAGAACATAGCTTTGCCCGTTTGCTAACTGATTATCTATGGGGCAGAGCAGTTGCCACAGAGACCATCTGGCCACAAAGCCTAACATACTGTCTAGATCTTTTAAGAATTAGTTTGCTTACCCCTACTTCAGAAAGTAATGCTTGTTCAAGAAATCTCCCAATTTCTCTTTTTTCTGCCTCTTATTCTCTGTTCCCTTCTTTGCTTCCTTTCTTTCTTATCCTAGTTTTATTGTTTATTATGCACTTCTTTGTTTTTTACTGCAAAGGAAACATACTGATAGAGCACATGTACTACCATCTCTTTAAACTCAAGCTGCCTTACCATTTCATCTTCCTTTAACTCACCCTTCATAGTACCACACTGAAGCCACCTCAGCCTATAGGGCCAGGTTTGAACCCATGGCGAGATTGGATTTCAGAGTTCTAAAAATAGGTGGCCCCGACCTCCCATTTCACTCACATAGTTTTAATCATAGAACTGATTCTGGCTTCACTTCTTATTTATTAAAATAAGCCAAGACTTTATTTCTGTTAAATTAGTTGAAAGTTCTTTAGTTGGACCTTTAGTCCTCCAAACATCATGTTTAGATGTTTCACAGAATAAAAACAAAGTCTGACAAACCCATAGCATTGTTTATTCTTATGTTTTTGGTCAGCTTTTAGGAAAATAAAAATATATTGGAGTTGATATCTTTTCAGTCACATTCTTGCAAAAATAATTTTATTAAAAGTAAGCCAAAAATAAAAAAAGTTGAAGCATTTGAAGTACTTTGGAAAAGAGTAATTAAAAATGTTAACATCGCCTGAATATGACTGAGAAGCTGTGGATTATATCTTTAGTTCAAATCCAGTCAACTTCCTCCAAGGTGTTTTCACCCCCTAAAAAACTCATGGGTACATTTCTATGTTATTTTCCAAAGTGTGGTTAATTGTCACGTCATTTAAAAAATTTTGTCAGTGACTTCCAAGCAGTGCTTATCTTAATTGTTTTGAAACATTTTCTGGGGAGGGTGTGATGCTGGGGATCAAACCTAGGGCCTTGTGCATGTTAGGCAATCACTCTGCCAACTGAGCTACATTTTCCAGCCCAATTATTTGAATTTTTAGCAGTTAATCTTATGACTTACTGTGGCCTAATAAAATGTGAAATTCTATCAATGTGTGTCACACCAGCAAGGAAATCTTCATATCTAAGCAGTATGTACTCTTCCTCATGGTTGCTCCAAATTCTTTTCTGCACTGGGTAGATTGGGAACCTTGAGGGCCTGACCTGTTTCCTTTAGATGTCATATTCACAGAATCTCAAAGAACTCTAACACTGCTCTCAGCTCAGTGCTCTGCACTGCTATGCTTCCCTGTGGCCCTGGGGAACCACTCTGGGTGCTTTGTAGAGGGTGTTCTTGCTCATACTTTTGCCCTTGGAACTGAGTCATAACTAGTCATTTCCTTTCATAACCATCTCTCTGTTTGGTCTTCGTTTCCCCAGAACCTTGGTGGCTTATCCTCAGCACTGAGGACACATCCTTTGCTCCCTCCCTCAGAGGGGCAGTGATACAGTCATGTCAGTCTGATGAGCACAGACAGTGAAGCTTTCTCACCCAGCAGGACCATCCCAGTTAACACAGGTGCTCAGTGTGCAAGCATAAAAGCATGGATTGCCCATTTGAAAAAAGCAACTGGGTGTCTGCGGGATTATAATCAGATTAGATGAATGGATTTCACCTTCTTTCAAAAGGATTTTAACAAACTGTGTGTGGCCCACACTAAAAAATTTACTACCTAACCTTCTACAGCACAGGTTTACTGATCCCTACAATAGTCACTCAAGATTAAATTCTGTGGATAATTAGGCACACTTTTTTGTTGTTCATGTAGTACAGCATTGCAACAATTCTTTTAGATTTTAGGATATCTTCATCTTTTCAACCCAGTACACAGCTGCTATTGCACATTATTCCTGAATGATGTCTGTGCATAAGAAAAAAGATATCCCTCTTTGCTGATTGAAATTTATTGATAAATTATGGGTGTATAGTCTACTAGGGTATATAATTAAAACTGAAAGTACAAAGTTTTCTAAAGTTTCATTGTGATTTCGTTTTTACGATTCATTTTAGAATCACAGTGAACTTGATTCTGGTAGAGACAGTCCACTATGGCAGTGCTCCGCACAAACTCTCTACTTATAGCTTAGAATAGTGCCTCTCCCTGAAAGTACAGGGTCTGTTGGTTGTACTTCTAGAGCCTTCCAGGTCTCTTGTATCTAGGATATTTGCAAGTTTATCACTCTCCAAGCCTTGGTCATTACTTGTGAACTTAAATGATTGGTCTTTGCTTTAACCTTGAATCCAGACCACACATTCTTCTTTAAATACCAGCATGTCTTTGGCACCTTGTTGACACACCAGCAGCTTTAGACTGAAAAGGTTCAGGGCTCTCTGATCTGGCCATTGAAGCCCAACTCTGGTCATGCCAGAATTACCACCTCATGGGAGAGCCGTCCTTGGAATATTCCCCCATCTTCTTTTGCCTATGCCACTAACCCTTCCAGGTGGCATCTTCTCTGGGATATTCTTCCCCCTCCCAAGTGCTTCATTGAACACACATGAGAAGCATTTTTCTCTTCATAACTCTTTATTTTAGTATTTGATGTTGGATCCAAATACCATTCAATTATGAACTTTTTCTACCCCAGTTGTTTTCTGTGCTCTACACTGCATGTTGTCTTGCAGCTAATGCTGCAGTATTTGGGAGCTAGTTTGTGGGAAAGATACTATACAAACAAGATTCCCTAATTTTGTATATTTGTACCACAGGTAGGGATTATTTTGAGAGCCACTGTAGCTTAAGTTTATTGTTTTCACTAGTGGTTTCTGCATTCTGACTAGCTCTAGAAGACTATTAATAACTGGCTTCAAATATATATATATATATATATAATGCGTATTTATACACACCACTGTGGAATTCGTTTCACTGTGTAAATAGTGATATTTTCCTGTTCAGATGCTTCTATACAAAGTATTTATTTTAACAAAAAATGAACTGTCAAAAGGGCTTTCCAAAAATTGTTCTTGCCATCCATCCTCCTCAACCACTGCTCAGCCATTGCACCCTTAACACAGTGAAGACAGAAGGGTGTAGCCTTGAAGCCCTCACTGTATTTGGGCAGATACAACATGAATTTGGAATCTGAGCACTTCTCCCCACTATCATCCCATCCCAGAACAATGGGTTTCCTGCAGTGGATATGGCCATGTCAGTGTGTGCTTCTAGTCTCATTCTCCAGGGTTTATGACAGTTATCTCTTCACACCCTCACCATGGGAGATAAGCATCCCACCTTCTGCACCTTGACAGTACTTGTGGGTACCTTGGCTCTCATCATCTTCCTCCTCCTTCTTTTCCCTGTCTCAGCAACAGCAAGCATTTGTGCAGATGTGGGCCAGTCCCACCTGTAACTGATGGTGACAGAATGAGACCATCTGTTCTAAGATGTGTTCAGCTTTACTTCTCAGGAGTTCCGATCTGCTATTCAGAGCACCCTACATGTAATGGGAAGCAGTGCTTTTTGATAATGTCCTATTCCCCATGTTCTTTTCCTTGGCACCCCTGCCTGTGTCATGATTCTCTTTCTGCCTAGTTGGCTGAACTGAGAACTACAGGTCCAAGATGCTGGGAGCTTTGGAACTAGTTCCACAGGGATCGTCATCTCTTTGAACCATAGTTTATATTTCCTTATGGCCTCCTTTTATCTTTTCTAAACAAATGAGGAGGATGCTTGATTAGTGATGCTGGAGAATGTTTTTCTAAGATACTATTTGTAAGAAAATCTGATTTTAAGATAAAATGTGAATGGTAACTAGGTGCCAGGGAAATTTAGCACTGAACTAGACAGTAAAAACTTTTTTAACCTTTGCAGAAAGAAATAGATTTTGCTCTCATCTAAATGTTCACAGGAAGTAATGTACATAGTTTTCTAAAAATATTTATTATATGTGCTGTATATGGATTCATGTTCTGAGTGATGTTGGTTTGCATTGTAGTATTGTAGAAGAATATATTAAGTAGTGAACTTCCTTTCATAACATAGTTCACACATGGAGGAAGAACAAAAAAGCCAGCATGTTGAGAGCTGTTTGGGGCCTTTGATCTGTAATGTAACATCATAGCCAAGCTTTAGCTTTAACTGCCCCTCTTCTCATCTGATATATATATGTATGTGTGTGTGTGTGTATATATATATATACACATATATATATATATTTGGTGGTCAGTACCCAGATCTGCAGAGCAGATTTCCAGGTGTTCTTTCTGATGTGTTGCCCTTAAGCAATAAGACTGTAGGTGATGACTTACTTTGGGGTCCGGGTTGCCCTTGTCTCAGAGGATCTGGTGAGGGTAAAACAGCTCTTGTGATACCCTCTTGCCTTTGCTGGAGAGGTTGCTGTACTTGAATTTTTGCTTCTGTTTGTCTGCACGCTCCCTCATGTCACAAAACTCAAGTGATAAATGAGAAATATGCCCACACCAGACATGTCAAAAGTGGTCATGTAAATCAAAAAGCAACTTTCTATGAATTTAGAGTCTAGAATCTAGTTAAGGCAAATTAATTTGGCTATAAAATAAATGCAGGAACTTTTCACAGGTGAAATGAAGTGGATCATTTAAAGACTTTTGGCTATGTCTGACCCATCTTTAGAAGCTAGCCCATTTCCTACCGGCCTCACATCCCTGAGCTTGACACATATGCAGCCCTGTGTCTGGCTTCAGCCCTTTAGGTCAATGTGAAGAGGCAGTCTCTCCTTCATTTCCTCCAGTGTGTCCAGCTCAACAGGTTCCTACAGCTATTTAGGAGCCTCTCCCTGTGACTGTCCTAAACTTTGTGAAAAAGAAATACCCCACACCCAAATAACCATTAATAAAAGTAATTAGTTTTTTAGGCTTTTGGAATTTCTTCTCTTTTGTATTTATGATGGTGTTTGGAATTTTTCACTAGTTTTTTTTTTCTTTTTTTTTTTAGATTGAAGTAGGTGCATTAGGATAAAACTTTCCATTGCTGAGCCAGATAGCAAGCAAAGAGGAAAGAAATTGACCTATATTGTATGCTTGGGGAGGTGACTACTTGTGTTGGGGTGGGGGGAGGGGTGTGGTAGATTATGTGGAGGTAAAATAGAATTCTGGCCTGAGGCTCTCCAAGTCTTTAATACTTTGTAATAAAAATCCCCTTCTTAGCCTCAGTCTCAATAGAACCCTGCTATTTACCCTCAGGGAACAAGTAGTTTTCAAAATTGAGCTCCTCCAAGGTCTTTGGCCATTGCCTGTGTGTATTGGCAATTTTGTGAACTCATGGCATTATTTTCCCATGTGCATTATATTATGAAATTCAACCCCAACCTGTATTAAAAGCACAGCCCAGGGTCCTAATTGAGGGTAGTCAATGCCTTTAAGGAGCCAGGGGGTCATTGGAGGCCCATGCAATTTAACTGAAGCTCAGGTGCCATGTTGGGTTTTTATTATTTTTAGGCCACGACCCTTACAGAATGAATTTAGGGGAGGGGCTGCTGATCTGACTATGGATTCAGGGAGCTCTAAAATGAATCTCTACCGTTCCTTTAAAGATCTTTCTGGTTCCTCCCAGTGTTGTCATTGCCGAGGTCAATCTGTAGATGTTAATATGTGCTCCTTTTTGCTGTCTTGTAAGTCTTAGCCAGTGTTCCAGATGCCCAAGGACAGGGCCTCCAGAGGGTGTAGCCCTTTCTTGGTACCAGGTGTGTGCTTGTAGTCTGAAGGGTGTATTTCTAGAAAAAAGCAGTGAAATTAGAAATTCTGCAAATGGTAACCTGGAGGATCAGCGTGCATCTCTTGGGCCTGGATTTCCACTATGTTAGTGAGTCTAGGAAAATATTGTGTCTTTAATGGATGAAAATTCAATGTATGCTGTGAATTTGTTGGTTTGAAACAATGAAAATTTTTCATTAGACAATGTTTACATACCTCACCTGAAAAACCTTTGAGAGTGTATATATGAAATTTTAAAATATATTAAGTTGCTTTAAAACAATATGTATAGTTATAAAAGTTGGAGTTATTTTAACTTTGAATATGTACCAAGTCTCTTAAATCTTGAATTCTCGTAGACTTTTTGTGCGTCTGTGTTTTACTTTCCTGTTAGACAATGTAGGAAACTGTTCTTGTTATTGGTAAAGGGGCCCCCACTAAAATCCAAGCTTGGAAGGATTTCCTGTTTCAAATTTTCTTGTTTGGTTTTGAGGGATGGGGTATGGAGCTAGAGGATGTGTAGGAGGGATTTCTCCAACACTGATATCTATTCCATGAGCTTTTTCAAGGCGCTTATTTTATTGCAGCATATTAAATTTCTTTGATATTATAATGTGTTTGTGTTATCACTGGAGAGGGTACAGAATGCATTGACGCTGAGAATTCAATTTGTAGCCTACTGCCAAATTGGCAAGTAGCCAGAAGGAACCCAAAACAGTACTCCATCTCAACCATGGCATTGGGGCTTAAAGAAAGATTATGTTCTGCTCTAAATCAGAAGACATTCTGTGAGTTATACCTAATTTTAAGGAAGAAGAAAAATGCAGTGGCTAAATCCTTACCATTGCAGGGTTGGAAAGATGCCAGTGTTTCATCCTGAGGGTAGGGAGCAACAGAGTTTAAGCTCCTCACCACGGGCAAACCAGCTAGGGCTACCCAGGTCTCTATGGTCCTTGTGGAGTATGGCAGAAAGTTGACAGAAAGTCCTTCCATTTGCTGGCCTTTTCATTGGTTTCATTGTATTCATTCAGTTCTTCTTGGGGTATGTCTATCTAAGGACCCAGTGGGCCAGTGAGAAGATAACCCAGCGCCCATAAGGACACTCCTGAGTTTTCTTTTACTCAGAGATTGCAAAACTTCTGGTCTGCAGAGGTATTTTGTTTAGCCAAACTTACATACACACAACATACTGTAAGCTTTTTAGTATAAAGAGATTTTTGGCTTCTCTTTTGGAAAAATGATGAAGATCTGACAAAATTAGCTGATGGTATGAATCACCTGGGGCTCAGCAGACAGGAAAATGCTCTTTAGGTCACCACAGTTCCTAGCTGTGTCAGTTGCCATTTGTCACTTTACAGTAGGGAAATCTGTATACCTGGTGTCTTATCAGAAGTAGCAAAGAAATAATGGACCAGGGGGATATTGCCCATTTGATCTACTTAGGTAACCACTTGGCCACCCCAGTCACTTGAGCCTACAGCCCTAGACTCCATTTTCCTTCCACATTGTTCTTTTTCCTCCAAAAATCCCTAATTGTTCTGAAGGCACTGGATTTACCATCATTGTTCATTTTCAAGGTGGCCATATGCTGTTGTGGCTTTTGTGACCATTGCCTTGGCTCATGGGAAATCAGCTCATGATCCTGGCATCAGAGGCGGGTCAGCCTGGTCCCTTTACCATCAGAGACCTGCCACTCTTCTGCCAAGGTCCAGGTCACTCACACACTCAGATCTAGGGTCCTGCAAAAGTCTCTAGTGCAAGGTGACAAAAACCCTACAGAAGTATGTTTTGCCTCCTTTCTCTACTGATCCCTAAAAACCACTGGCCTAGAGACAGACAGTAAGTAACCTTATAGGATGTCTGAGAAGACACACTGCTTTCTAGTCTGCTGCCCAGATGCTCTGAGTCCCCCAGAGCCAGGTCAAATCTGTGTGTGTGGCTTATAGACAAGCATAAAATGTCAGTGTAACAGCAAACACTTAGCAGAGATGAAGATAAACTGCTTCCTCAGACCAAGTATGCTGTGTTCTTCTTTGTGTTCCATCAACAGACCCCTGAGGAACTGTGATCCCCAGATCCCTTCCTTCCTCAGGACTGATAAACCTTCTTTGCTACTTCAGGAAGAGCAGAGTTCCAGGGCAGACACCCTACATGTGAGGAGTGTAGCCATTGTGGGGCCCAGAAGCCATTGTGTCCTGGAGGGTGAATACTGGCAGTAGCAGACTCACCTCAGCGGAGAAAGAGAGACAACCAGGCAGAATCCAAGTGAATCGATGTCATGTTCACATGGAGAACAACAGACGATATTAACATAGACTAAAACAATACTTCCGGGAAAGGGCAGGTGCGGCTCCCTCACAGGCTGTTCTAAGCCAGTCTCTAAGTCAATCCAAACAAGACTACAGAAACCTGACACTAAAGGTCACAACCACATAAGCATCTGAAAATCAAAACAAGACACTGGATGTTGACTTTAACATATAAAAATACTATAACAAAATGAAATACAAATATATATTAGAATCTGTAAGTATTCTGTATAAAGAGATACATTTGTGGTTAGGCTAACAGCAGACAGAGGAGACAAAGGTGGCCTTTTCCATTTTCTTAACACCATCAGGGAGCCCCAGCCACTGTTGCCAGTGGTGCTGCCCAAGCATCATCTCTCTCCGTAATCACCCTGCTGGGTCTTTTCAGTGCATCTTTAAAGGAAACAGCCAGTGGTGACCACAAAGCAAACTGAAGATCTTTACCAAAGCATGGCAAGATGTGTAGGTGATTTCTTGGAGGGATGATTTCATGGTTATCTTCTCCCTGGACTTGAGCTGAGTATGAACAGGTAATGGGAGTGATGACCCAGGCCCGTCACAACTTGCAGGTTGGTGGCTAAATCAGAGGAAAAGTTGATCCTGGGATGCATGACTGTCTTAGGCCCCTTGCTGCCCTCATGCTTGTGGTAGATTCCAATCCTGACACTGAAAGATCAGTTTGGAAGGGCCTGGAGTGCAGCTGTGGGATCACAAGGTACTTTTATAGGGTGAAGAGGCCTCCTTCCAGCAGTACCTTTTGAGTCTGGGAATTGGCTTCTTTGGGCACTGGGAAATAGTGGTGGCCAGGGAAGCTAATTTCCTCTAGGCTGGTGAGTCCAGAACACTTTGTTTCCAGGAAGGGGCACTCCATCTTCTCTAGCACTTTTTTGTCCTATGCCTCCTGGTTCTACTGTCCTCTAGGGTCCCAGAAACTTGGAGTAAAAAGGAGACACTGAATGGCCCTTGGAGAGTCCCCAAGAGACCCCAGGTGCTGTCCACTTGGGAGATGCAGGACCTACAAGAAAATAGAGTCTGGTTCCCTGGGGAGGGATGAATCTAGCTATAAGGACACTTCTCTGCAGAGAAGGGCCTTCTCACCCCAAGTTCCCATGACCCTGCAGGAGGCTCACACCCTCTACTAATCAGCACAAAGGGCTCACCTCAATGCCTATATGGGCGGGAACACAGGCATAAGGCCACTCCAACCCCCATACTCAAATCCCCAGATGGAGGGATCTAGGAAAGGAACACAATCATCTCCTTTGCACACTGAGACTCTTCCAGGGCTATAACCACTTGGGATACATCTGGGAAAGAAGAGTGTGACCAGAAGGTCCCTCCTTCAGCAACTCACAGTTAGGTTCAAAACCCATCTTTCTATATTTCAAATATGTAGAAGAGATACTTCTGTCAGATGATCATGTAGCCAGTGGCTCCTCAAACACAGCTTTCATTTCAAACACAAGGGTGCCGAACACTGGGCCAGTATCTCTGTGGCTGGAGCCCCATTGGGCTGCACTCTTCCCAGGCATCTTGGTTGCTCCTATAGTGCTTGAGGACCAGTTCACATCTGCCATGGAGGCCGAACACTCAACAATACCCATCCCTGGGGTAGCCACAAAAATGCTGATGTAACCTACAGAAATGGATCTTCTGACTCCTTGGGCCTCCCTTCTGAGGCCAGAGCTGGATAGTCTACATGGTTCCTTTCACCAGCCCACCTCCTCATTTTATGGCTGAGGAAATCCAGTTGAGAGCAGGAAGAAGTTCACCCAGAGTAAGAGTTGACAGGGCCCCCCAGTTGCTCTATCCTGGCCTACAATGCAAGGAGCTCAGCTCCAGCCTCAATAGAGGAGACCCCGTACCCTGTCCCTTTGCCAGCAGCTCATGGGAGCTTGTGGCAAGCTGGTGGCTGGGGAATCCCAGGTCCAGGATCCCCTTCTGGGCCAATGTTTATTCAGCTAGGACCAATAACCCTCTGCTCTCTTTGGTGGGATCTGCCACCCCCAGTACCCCTAGTGACTATTTCCTCCACCAGAGCCCCCTTCTAGAACTACAGTGGTTATCCTACACTTTAGGATTCTGGGGCCTGGTCGTAAAAACCACAATACTCCCAGCCTCCTTCTCAAACAGTGGAAAGAGTGAGACTGGTCTACTGAAGGAGGAGTCAGTCCTTTCACTTGCAGGCAGGGGGCTGTTGCCCAGCTCCCTGGGGAAGCAGAGGGGCCAGGGGATTCTGGGGGCCTGGGCCACAGGGTAAGAGGAAGACTGCTTTGGAAAGGGGTCAGCCCCCTTCTCCAGACCCATGTAGCAGATACAGAGGGTGGCACCATTCTGCCCTTATATGGCCTGACCTCACGCACACATTCATTCAACAACTATTTATTGAGTGCCTATTTGTGCAAGGCACTTCCAGAGAGGGCAGCCATAGCTCCAACCTGCCCCTCTGCTGGGCTGCGATGCTGCTAGACCCCATGCCCACTATAGCCCAGGCACTGCTTCAGTGATGCCCACAACCAGCTGCTGACTCGGCTGCCCTGCCTGTGGTGCTGCCTTGTTCATGCTACCTACACACAGAGGGCACAACCACATTTGGTGGGCTTCTCCACCTCCTCGGCAAAAGAGGTCCCGTCGCTGCACTCGAAGGTAAGCTTCCTCCGCTTCAGCCGCAGGCCTAGGCAGCAGCCCTGGCCTGGGCACGTGCCCCGACACTCCACCCACGATAGCGGGCGCGTGGTTTGGCAGATGGCATAGCCCCTCTGGACCCGGTGAAAATCCCGGACAGGGTCCCCCCGGCACTCGGACTCTGGATGGGACAGACACCAAGAGAAACCCTCAGGGCACACCCAGGGGCCAGCTGCTGCCCTGGGAGGCAGGAGTAGGCAAGGCAGCATCCTACAAGCAGCCCAAGTGCCCTTACATCCACTTGGTACCCAGAGTCCTCCCACCTCTTATGCATGCACCTGTGCATCGCTGCCTCCTGGGATCCCTAGTGTGGTCAGTGATAAGGAGAAACTGTAGTTGCCAGGCCCCTCGGGAATGGAGTGGCTGTCAGGGTAAGGTGATCCCCCTATGTTACGGAGGTATGCAAGAGGAGCTGAGGAGGGGAAGGCCCAGGGCCCCTTAAGGTGCCTGAGGTCTAGATTTCTCTGCCTTGTTCTTCCCAGCCTCAGCAGTCTGGATTCCAACAGAAGTATCTCGGTCAACCAGGCCAGGAAAGGAGTCCACTCCCAGGTCCCAAGCTGATGGGGCCAAGATGTGGAGATCTGGCCAGGAGCTGTTATTACAGGGGTGGTCTCTTCTGTAAGGAGAGACCTTAGCCAGAAAGGACTGTGGCCTGGCGAGATGGCTGGGGCTCGGTACTAAGAGGGTGGCGGGCTCCAAAAGCCCAGGAGCAACAGGAGAATGGGGAAAAGCGGAGAAGTGTAGAGGGTTTGCCAAAGTTGGGAGGAAGAAAACGCCAAGTTACTACAGCAAGTTATGGGGAGGAGGGGACCCGAAGAGGGCATGTCAGGAGGGGGGCCCCTGACCTTGCTCACATAGCTCGCCTGAAAAGCCGGGGTCACATACGCAGTGTGCCCCCTTGGTGGCCGAAGCCTGGCAGTGGCCATGCAGGCATTGCAGGTCCCCACAGGGCTCTACCACTGCCCCAGCCTGGTTGCATAAGGCCCCTGAGTAACCCTCCTGGCACTGGCAGCTGTAGGACAGGGCATCGAGGGGCACACATTTCCCATGGACACACCTGGAGGGGACAGAGAAAAGGCACTGTGAGGACAGGTCAATCCAAGGCCCAGCCCAAAGGTGTCCTACCCCTCCCAGCCTGGACTTCATAGGACTTCATTCTGTTCCCAAGATTTAAACAAAGTGAGCAAAATGTGATTCTATGTTTGTCTTTTTGGGAACTTTTTTCCATTTAGTAAAAGCTGAAAACCAGAAAAGGAAAAACAAAACAAAACTATAAAATCCTGTAGTAGGCCACATGCTCCAATTTGAGGATTTAACAACATAAGCTAGAACATACAGGGAAGGGCCAGGTGGGCATGTTACAGGGCTCCCTCAGCGCATCCCAGACTCACTTGTGGCCATGGCAGGGGCCATCAGCTGGCTGGTCGCAGTGCAGGCCCCCCCAGCCAGCCTCACAGTGGCACATGGGCCCTGGGGTGGCATTGGGCTGACAGATGCCATGCAGGCAATAGAGTTTGCGGCAGGGTTCACACCCCGGCACCACGCCCGGTTTCATCTGCGTCTTGGTGAAGTCTTGTAGTTCATTGTTTATATACAGGTTTCGGATGCAACCGTGGAAGCTGGTACCATTAAGGATCTGCCACAGCCGGAAGGCAGCTGAGTTAACATCCACTGGCATCCCTGGGATGGGCAGAAAGCAAAGTGAGCTGAGTCAGGCTCAAGCCATCCCTGGCCACCCACCTCTGAGATCCACTGTGCAACTCCACAAGTGTCCCCTTTTTCCCTTGGCTTCTTTCTGTCTCTTTGGCCCTGTGCTATAGGCCTGTGCCATCCTAGAGTGCCAGATTCTTTGCCCAGAACACATGGAAAAAGCTGCTTCCTATAGCACCAGAGCTAGAGTGTCAGGCTTGGCATGGCTAGAGAACAATTGGGGCTTGGGGGTGCCTGTTCTTGAAGTCAGGCTGCCCTTACTTAGGGCTCCTTCCTTATTTCTGGGATACCAGCTTTCACTCCTGGAAACCCCAACCAAAGCAAAGGACCTGGGCCTAGAACTCATGTTCAGGACACTTTTTCACCACTCTTGTGCTCATTACTTCCTAGCAACCCTCTGAGGTAAGGCTGCCAAACCCCATCTGACAAATGATCAGCAACTTGCCTGAAGTTGCTCAACTAGTAAAGGCAGAGCTGGGATCAGAACCAGGAGTCCCAGCCTGCCTATCTGCCCCAGAAATCAGCACACACGCATGTGCGCACACACACACACACACACACACCCAGAGAGAGAGAGAGAGAGATCTGCTAAGATAGCCCTGCCACACCCACAAGCCTGCCTCTGCCCAACTGAGAAATGTCTGCAGGTGGTAGACAGGGGTCACCTGGTCTGCAGTGCCCATAAGGCCAGAGTGGCGTCTCCAGCTGATGTGGAGACTCTGTACTGTGTCTCTTGGAGCTGCTCTGGCCTCTGAGGGCCCAAGATTGGAAATGGGCCCTGAACAATTAGGAAGCCTCTTCTAGTCCAGAGCCAAGAAAAAAGGTGTCTATGGTATGGGAGACAGGTAGAAAAGCCTCAGGCCCTACTCTAGGCTGTCATCACCCTTCTTAGTCAGGCTGGGCTGGGCAAAACACATCCTGGGGTCCAGGTAGGGGAGGACAATCCTCCAGCAGCTTGGCCATCCACTAGGACAACCCCTTAGTCCTTGACATTTCTCCTACAGCACAGTGCCCTAGGCACAAACCCTCAGGCCAGAGTGCCATAGAGGCTTCACCCAGGACCCAGTCCCCATGCCCTGATGAAAAGACCTGAGAAAGGACAGGTGTAGTCTCTACGCCAAGTCCTCACCTCCCACATAGAGGGGCGCCTCACTGTTGAGTGTGTAGTGTTTGCCGAAGTTGTCCATGGTCATGGGACTGCCGCCATCAATAGAGAGGTTCACCATCTGGTCAAAGGTGACCAGTTCAACAGTGTGGAACTGTCCATCATTGATCATCTCAGCACTGGAAGGAGATGGGGTACCCCACCCGAGGGAATAGGTTTCAGTTTGGACCATTCCTGGCAAGAGGGAACCTTGCCCAGAAAGGTCACTGTCCCAGCAGTTGCTTCCCAAGGGACCAAATCCCTTAGGGAGAAGACTGTGGAGACTAAGTGGACTACAGCCGGATGCCTCCCAATTCCCTTCCTAGGCCCCAGAGGGAAAGTTGAAAAGTTTGGGGAAGAGCCCCGCATTCAGGAGGGTAAGGTGAGGATGGGATGGGGAAGGAGGGATTGCAGCTCAGGCCTCAGAGAGCCTCAGAGCCTCAGACCCAAGATGAGGCTGGACCTAGTGGTTCACACGTCCTTGATGATTGGGCTGTCCAGGTTTCCAGTAGTCCCAACAGCCACCTGTACTCAGCCCAGGAGATCCACCGTAGCATACCTCACCCCAAAGGTAGCAGGTGAGCTGAGGAAGCCGTACCTGTAGATGGCAGAACTGGGGAAGCTGCCTGGGTCATAGCTGACACGCACATGGCCCTGGTACAGCTCAACTGCGATATGGTCATTGTCCCCATTGTACAGCAGAATCCCATTGTCCTCTGCCGTGGAGACCTGGTAAACAAAGGTATTTTCTCTCCCAACCCACCCCTTACAGCAGCAGCACAGGAGGTAAGTGGAACAGAGACTGAAAGAACAACACTGTGTGCAGTAACATCTACTGTGCCTGCCCAGCCTCCCCAGGGACCACTCATGCAAGGTGTGCAGACTGAGGCTAGCAGCTCTGGCTTCAAATACCATCCCCTCCCAGTCTGGCCAGGTTCAGGCAGGGAGGTGGATGAGCCAGCTAAGGCCTGGGAAGTATGTGCCAGCACAGCAGGTAAGAGTCTTAATGGGCCAGGGATTTAGCTCAGTGGTTCCGCTGCCTGCCTTGCAAGTGCAAGGACCCGAGTTCGATCCCCGGTACCAAAAAAAAGTCTTAGGCAATCTGCCCAGGAACAAAGAGGCAGACTGGGACTACCACCTCCCACTGGTGGGGAGCCCCTTGTGTGGGCTTCAGGGAGTCTGCTGCACAGGGTGGAATGACAGAAGGGACAGGTTTAGGAAGGTTGTCTCAGCCAGTGCTGTCCAAGCTGAAAGGAGCCACTCAGGAGGTAGTGACTGCTGTTGGAAGCAGATTTTTGTTTGAGAAGGGTATCTCTCTGTCCCTCTTCCCACTTCTGGTAAAGACCCTAACCCCCTGGTCCACAGAGGTGGGCATATGTCCTAGGCTGGCCCACTCCTACTGCCCCATCTCCTTGGACCCAGTTGTTGGTCCAGGGGTGAGGATGTGACTGAAGCCAGGCCAATCAGAGAATTTCCCCAAGACTGTTGACCATTGCCTAATTAGAGTTGGGAAGGAAGAGTCCCATTCAGTCTGGTAATGGACTTCTGGGGATATCCGGATAAAACCAAGAGGCAGTGGTGGGGTTGGGATTTTAGTGAGCTTTGTTTTGTTGAACAGTTACTCTGGCTGTTGTCTTGCTGTGTGAACAACAGTAGACAGGATTCTGGAGAGGTGATATAGGCAAGAGAGCAGAATAAGCACATTTGAGAGGCTAAAGGATTCTGAGGAGAAGGAGACAAGGACAAAGAAAGACAGGAAGAAAGGTGTGGCATTTGCGATAAGGAATGGACTTTGGGAGAAAGAGTGAGATGACAAAAGAGAGGCTTACATTTTTTTGTTGGGTAATGTGTACAATCCACTCTAGTCTCCCTTCAAGGCATATCTGGCAAAATACCCATACATTTTATGAGTGTTGTTGAGGTGGGACTTATTTTTTATCCCTCAACATGCTGATGCTCTGAGATGGAATTTAAGATATGAAAGGGGCAATTTAAGAGACCCCAGGAACCTTCGGTTAAAGACAGACATAAGCCCAGGATTCACTCTGAACACATTCTGGCCCCGTGAAGCAAGCCTGTCTGTGGGGTTGGAGACAGAAGGTGAGGAGCAGTTGAGGTGAGATGGTGGGAAAGGATCCTGGTAGGTTTGCTTTTCTGGATCCACTCATCCATGAGACCACATCTACCCCTGCCCTGGTGTTGGCTCAACAGCCTTTCCAGTTATGCTTAAACTAGGTAAGGCTGAAATCCTGAGTGATCCCTCCCAGTTCTAACACAGGTTCCTTCCAGTTCCCCTGGCAAGCTTGCAACCTGATGCTCTTACCAAGGCCAAGGTCCTCTGTTCCCTGACTCTTTTTTGTGAACAGGACCCTGGGCACGCACCTGTAGTGTGATGTTGGCCCGTGGCCAATTCTGCAGGTCAGTGAACTGCAGGTAAGTGTCTCGATCCACAAAGTTGACGCTGAGCAACTTCTCACACTCAGGACCACCGAAGCCTGGGAGGCACTGGCACACAGGCTGGCTGCCCTGGTCCACACAGTTGGCCCCATTCTGGCACTCAGTCCCCTCACAGGGGTTCCTGGGGGCAGGTGAGCGGGGAGGGATCTCACAGAGCTGTCCACTGAGAGGAAAGGACATAAATCAGAAAGGGCAGAGCCAAAGGAAGAAGGGACATCTCCTCCCACAGTCCTGGAGAAAAATTCACTAAACACCACACTGCTTTCTCAGAGAACCAAAAGCCAGAAGGATACTGAGAAACAAGGTTGTTTGGTCCTTGGTCCAGCAGCACTGACACTACTGGCACTTCACAGAAACAAGAACCCCACTGAATTCACTTTAACCAAATTTAGGTGATTCCTGTGTACATTAAAGCTGAAGAATCATTCACTGCTCATGTCAATAAAGTTGCAAGGCAGGTTTTATTATATAGAAATGAAAACAGACTTATGACATAGGCAGAAAGAGAGAACACCCCAGATTACTAAAATCTAAATTAAAAGAGGAGACATTATTACCAACCTTATAGAAATAAAAATAATAATAAGGGCATATTATAAGCAGCTGTGTGGCAACAAATTGGATACCACAAATGATATGGGCAAATTCTTAGAAACACATAAACTTCCAAAATTGATTCAAGAGTAAATAGAACAGGGCCGGGGATTTAGCTCAGTGGTTCTGCCGCCTGCCTTGCAAGCGCAAGGTCCCGAGTTCAATCCCCAGTACCGAAAAAAAAAAAAAGTAAATAGAACATCTGAACTGATAAGTAAAGAAGTTGAGTTAGTAATCAGAAAACTTCCCAGGCCCAGATGTTTTCTACCAAACATTTAAAGAAGAATTAATATAAATTCTTCATAAACTTCCAAAAACAAAAGGAAGGAACACTTCCTCACTTCATGAGGCTAGCATTACCTTAATGTCAAAACCAAAAAAAAGATATCAAAACATTACAGACTAATATCCCTTATAAATATAGGGCATGGTGGCACATGCTTGCAATCCCAGCACTCTGAGAGGCTGAGAGGGGAAGATCACAAGTTCAACCCCAGCCTGGCAACCTAGTGACTCAGGAAAACCTTGTCTCAAAATTTTAATAAAAGGCTGGAGCTGTACCTCAGTGTGAAGGTCCTGGGTTCAATCCCTAGCACCACACATACAAAAAAAATCCTCAACTTGCACATTGAGGCCATACTCTTAGGTGAAATAAATAGGAAACGTGTAAATACCAAATAGTTTCTCTGGTGTGAAAAACTAAAAGTGTAAATAAAGATCAAAATGTATAATTGATATTGTGTAATAGGAAGAAAAGGTCAAAAGGAGTAGGGGAAGTGGGAGGGGTAGGGGAAAGTAAAGAAGGGAAAAGAAAAAATATGAGAAAAGGAAAAAATGGAAACAAAGTCTTTGTAAATAGGGAAGGGTGGAGGGGGTGAAGGGAAGGCAGGGGAAGGGGGAAAAAATAAGAACCAAGATACATCATGTACAGGTACAAGATCCCAATGATGAATGTAACTGTATTGTATACCTAAAATGTACCAATAAACTTAATGAAAAACAATCCTCAACAAATCCTAGCAAATCAAAACCAGCATAAAAAGTATTATATACCATTTGGGACTTATCCCAGGAATGTAGGGTTGGTTTACCATCTGAAATCATTTAATACCAAACATCATATCTACAGAATAAAAAAAATCACACAGATGCAGAAAAAATCAGTGAAACTTCAACATCCCTTTACAATTTTTTAAAAAACCCTCAGTAAATAAGGAATAGAAGTAAACTCCAGCCAGGCACAGTGGTGCACACCTGTAATCAGCACATTCAGGAGGCTGAGGCAGGAGGATTGCTGTGAATCTGAGGCCAGCTTGGGCTACATAGTGAGTTCAAGGCTGGCCTGCACTACATAGCGAGACTCTGTCTTGAAAGAAAAGAAAGAAAGTCCATTGACCTAATAAAAACACACAACTAACATACTTAATGGTGAAAGACTGAATGCTTTACTCCTAAGATTAGGAACAAGACAAGGATATACGCTCTCATAACTTCTATGAAATAAACTAGTGGGTTTATCCAGAGCAGTTAAGTGAAATAATGTGCACCCAAACTGGAAAAGAAGCAAAACTATCTCTATCTGCAGATGACACGATCCTGTATAAGGAAAACCCTAGGAAATCCACTAAAACACTCTCAGAACTACATAAAGGATTTAACAAGGATACAAAATTAATGCACAAAAATAAAACAAAATGAAACTAAGAAACCAGTTCCATTTACAATTGGATTAAACAGAATAAGACATCCAGGAATAAATTTTTTAAATAAGTGTAAGACATATACTTTGAAAACTACAAAACAATGATTAAAAGAATTTAAAGAATATCTAAATGGGAAGGTACCCCATGTTCATGGATTGGAAAACTTAATTATGTTAAAATAATACCCCCTTAATTGAGCTACAGATTTAATATAATTCCTATCAAAATCCCAATTGACTTTTTTTGCAAAAATTAACAAGCTGATGCTAAAATTCATATGGAAATTCGAGGAACCTAGAACAGCCAAAACAATCTTGAAAGAAGAACGAAGGAGGAGGACTCACATTTTACAATTTCAAAAGTTACTACAAAACTACAGCAATCAAGATAGTGTGGTGCTGGCATGAGGATAGCCGTATAGATCAATGGAATGTAACTTAAGAGTCCAGAAATATTCTCAACATTTATGGTCAATTGATTATAAGAAAGTCAAGACAAATGGGAGAAAATAAATAGTCTGTTCAACAAAAAGACATCAGGATATCCACATACAAAAGAATGAAGTTGGGAAGAAAAGGAGCAAAGGGAAGGGGGAAGTTGGAGGGGTAGGGGAAAGGAAAGAGGGGAATGGAATTAATATGAGAAAATGGAAAAATGGAAACAAAGTCTCTGTAAATAGGGAGGGATGGAGGGGTTGAAGGGAGGGCAGGGGAAGGGGGAAAAATAAGAACCAAGAGAGTATGTAAAAGTGCAAATTTCCAATGATGAATGTCATTATATTGTATACCTAAAATGTACCAATAAAAGGATATATTAAAAAAAAGAATGAAGTTGGACAGCTACTGCAAACCCATATTAAAAAATTAACTAGAGATCGATCCCCGGTACCAAAAGAAAAAAAAAATAACTAAAAATAGACTAATGACCTGAATGTGTGAGCTAAAGCTATAAAACTCTTAGAAGTCAACATAAGTAAAAGTTATGACTTTGGATTAGGTATTTCTTAGATAAAACATCAATATGGCATAAACAAGAAAAAAAAAGAGACAATCAAGGTGACAACCTAGAAGTCAACAAAAGTAAAAACTTTTGGGCATGAAAGGTATTATCAAGAAAAGACAACCACAGAATAGAAGAAAATATTTGCAAATATTATATCTGATAAAGGACTTGCCTAAAATATATAAAGAGCTCTTACACTCAAATGATAAAAAGACAAACATCTCAATTAGCAAATAGGCAAAGGATTTGAAGAGACATTTCTCAAAAAAAAAGAAAAAAAGTATATATATATATATGGCCAGTAAGCACATGCAAAGATGCTGAACTACATTAGCCATCAAGGAAATGGAAATCATAACCACAATGTGATACCACTTCACACTCATTAAGATGGCTAGAAACAAAAAGATAAGTATTGCAGAGCATGTGGAGGAACTGAAAACATCATTCACTGTTTGTTCAAAGAGTAGTGCAGCCACCAGGAAACAGTTTGACAGTACCTCAAATTGAACTCCCTATGATGCAGTGAACCCACTCCTAGGTATATACCCAAGAGAACTGACAATGTATGTCCACACAAAACCCTGTACGTGAATATTCATAGCATCAGTGCTCATAATAGCCCCAAAGTAGAAATGACCTAAATATCTATCAACTGAGGAACGGGTAATCAAAACATAGTATATTCATGCAATGGAATATTATTCAGCAATGAAGTGCTGACACATGCCACAACACAGACAAAGCTTGAAAATATTATACTAATTGAAACAAGGCAGATGCCAAAGGACAATAGACTATATGATTCTGTTATATGAAATGTCCAGAATGTGCAAATCTATAGACACAAATATCAGTAGATTAAGAGTTGCTGGGATTGGGCCAGGGATTTAGCTCAGTGGTTTCACAAAAGAGTTGCTGGGATGGAAGGTAGGTTGGATGTGACAGATAACGGGTAAAGGATTCTTTCTAGAGTAATGGAAATGTCCTAAATTGATTGTGGTGACAGATGCACAATTCTGGGGGAAAAACTGAATTTTACACTTTGGGTCAATTGTGTACTATGTGAATGATATCTCAAAAAAGGTTGTTTTTTTTTTAAATGACACAAGGGGCTGAGGGTGTAGCTCAGTGGTAGAGTGCACATTTAGCATGCACAGGGCCCTAGCTTCAATCTCCAACACCAGAGAGAGAGAGAGAGAGAGAGAGAGAGCAAGAGAGAGAGAATTAAAGTGTGAAGTGAGTGGAAGTGAGCAGAAGCTCCTCCAATCTGCCAAAGGAGAAAAGGCAGATGGCCTTTATGGCAGGACTTGGCTTCAGAGATTCAGCTGAGTAGGTGAGTAATGGGGCAATGTGTGTCCACCACTTAACCCTCCACCAAACAGGTTAGAGACCCTCTGCCTGAGTTCTGAGTAATTACATGACTTTCCCAAGGCCACCCAGCTGGGATTAGCAGGACCATGGTTAAAACTCCAGCATTTAACTTCAAGACCCTGACCTTTGTTCTCCGAAAGCCATGGAGGGCTCCCACCATCCCAGACTGACAGCCAGAGGAGGCAGCTCACCTGTAGCCCTTGGCACAGAGGCAAGTGTAGCTGTTGACTGCGTCCACACACTGGGCTCCGTTCTGGCAGCGATGACCACTGCAATCATCTTGGTTCACACTGCAGTTGTCACCTGTGTAACCTGGTGCGCATTCACACCTGGAAGTAGGGAGGGGCTCAGCATCAGCTGCACATTCAGCCAAGAGCTCAGGTAGCTGAGGCCCAAACCTCGTGTGACTGAAAACCACTGGTGATCAGTGGATACCCCCAGGAGGTCATGCAGCGGCATGGGTATAAGGGGCCCCTGCCCCTTAGGAGAGTCTCTTCTAGTGTGAGAAGAGAGCTTGTGTAGGCTTGGGGAGCCCTGGGCTGGGAGGTGGATGCCAGTAGCAAGAGGAGAGGGGAATCATGCCCAAGAGGGCCTGCCTTCCCCACCCCACCAAGAGCACATCCTTCGCCACTTCCCAATCTGCTCCACTGCTTAGCTGTTCTCCCCAGACACCCAGCACAGGGCCCTGCATCCCACAGACTCAGTGCCCCTCCTCCCCCAGTCTCTCCCACTCTGCTGGGTCCAGTCTTCATCCTGAAATAGGATGCTGCTCCATAAGCAGATAAGTTCACATTTCTGCAGCAAAATCTTCACATATCCTCCTTCCATGGGATGAATGATGTGTATAAGCCACCTTGCACTGGTGCAGGTCAACCCTTCTTACCAAATAAGGCCAGGTCAGATTTTGTCATCAGAGGAGTTCTTTCTGGATTTTTAGAACTCTGGATTTATAAGCAGGGATGAGAGGTTCTGAATCTAGAGGGGCACTGAGATGCCAGATGTGCAACTGCCTGTCTACAGGCAGGCAGGAGGAAGCTACTGCCATGCTCAGTTTAGGATGAAGAAACAGGTTCAGGTCAGCCAAGCAATGTAGCCAAGGTCATGCTGCCAGCCCAAGTCTGTCTGGCCATAGAGCTGTGCCCATCACCCCCGCTGCACTGCCTCTCAGGAGCTTACACAGCTGAGCCCAACCCCCGAAACTGGAGGAACAGGCTAGCAGGAGGCAGAGCCCACAGCAGAATCACTGGCACTCTTTATGGGTGGCACTGACCTGGGCCCGTCTGGAGTACCCACACACTGGGCCTTATGCTGGCACGGGTTCAGATCCAGGGAGCAAAAGTCCACCAGCTGCTCACAGGCCCTTCCTGGTGAAAGAAAGAGTGAGAGGCAGGAGGGGAGCCAGGCCAAGCAAGGCTCTTGCAGTTACTGAGGAGGCCCTAGCCCTCCCGCCCACAGCATAAGACTTAAGTGTGCTCTAGCTCTGCCACACTCACCCACATACTGTAGGGGGCACTGGCAGGTGTAGTTGCCCACACCATCCACGCAGGTGCCCCCATTGGCACAAGCATGCTCCACACAGTCATCCGTGTTCACCCCACAGGTTGGTCCTTCAAAGCCGATGGGACAGGAGCACCTGTAAGAACAGGGAAGGTAGACAGGCCATCTTCTTGGGTGGAAGCCTGTGGCCACAGGTTGGGATCATCATCGCACAGAGTTAGGGCTTCTGCATTGGCCAGACCCTTGCCAGGGCCATGGGAGTCAGAGGAGAACGAGACCTGCCCCGCCTCCATGGGACTTACAGTCTAGCCGGGAAGACAAAGAGGAGGTGAGCCACTGGAAAAGTGGCAAGTATTGATGATGGAAGCACTGAAGCCAGGGTGTGGGCACAAAGGGGCAGAGGACTCCTCACTCCTCCTTGGCAGGGAGTGGTTGGGGCAGGCTTCCAGGATATGATAAATTGACATAACCAAGGAGCCCAACAGGAGGAAAGGCAGTGGAGGTGGAGAGATGGGTAAAAGCTAGAAGTAAGAGGAGCCGCATGGCTAGTCCTCTGGGAAGGGACCTGCTCATCCACACAGTTCAGAACTTCAGGAGCACAGACCTCAGGGACAGGGGAGGATGGGGCTGGGGTGAGCAGGGGCCAGGCTGTGGAGGATCCTAGATATGTTCTTCACACCAACATACACCTTTCCCTGGGCACCCAAGGTTTGCCAAGGGATGCGAGGGTCAGACAGAAGCTGGAGAAATTCACATCCACCTCTTCAAATATCCAGACAAGCTCTCTGTACACCAACATGCCCAGGACTCTGCAGAGGCACCCTGCTCTCAGCTCAAACACAAGGTGGGACATTGTCCCCAGGTATCAAGTAATGGGGCAACTAGGGGCATGGATACAGACAGAAACTGAAGTGATACCTCATGGAACTGTCATCTGGGAAAGCATTAAAAATACTTTTTATGATAGATCACTCTGCAGTTTTGGGCACATAACCTGGGAAGAATTTCAAAGAACTGAGTGAACACAGCTATAATGAAACTCTTCCTAATCTGATCAGTTTACTTATGTGAACAAAGTTTCCTAGCACTTAGATCTATAAAAACAAAACAAACCAGGAATACAGTAGCTGCTGAACCTTTCCCATCCCATACACCCATGGATGCATAAGCCAAATGAGAGATGAAAGAACCTGTCCATTCCATGAAGGGATACCATCTAAACATTTTCTTTTCATGGTTAATAACTATCAGTCAGACTTTTCAATAATTATGTTGTTTTGCATGACTGTATATTATTGGTAACTATAATGATAATACAAAAGAAACTTCTAATTAGAGGCTTATGATGACACAAAATATGAAGAGAGACTTTAATATTAGCTCTTGTATCTATGTTGGTGGCAAAGAACCAAGCAACTGCTCTTGACATAAAAGCCTATTATATTAGATAAAGAGTAAGAAGGTGGGGAGTACAACAGAAATACCAGCTCCAGAAGCAAGGAGAACAGGGTGCCCAGGCATGGGAGGTGCACACCTATTATCCCAGCTTTGAAGCAGGGACATCTTGAGACTGAGGCCAACCTGGGCAACTTAAGAAGACCTTGTCTTAAAACACTTCCACTCTCTTCCCTCAAAAAAAAAAATTCTCAATGAAAACTCTTAGCTCTCCATCTAAGAATATGTGTATAACGGAGTATCATTTATCAGTTTACATTTTGTCTAGGAGGCTATGTGACTAAAGAGGTCATGCTGCAGGGCATGTTTTGAAGTTTAACAACAGAATGGTTTTAAGCTGGGGTTTCTGGGGTGACAGGGTCACTCTGCATTGAAGAAAGCCCCCGTGGCAGGAGCTGGAGGCAAGGCAGAGGGAGTGGGCATAGGTCAGCAGGAGAGAGCCTCGGGTTGAAGGGACAACCCCTCAAGGAGACACCCCCTACCTGGAGGGCCCACCCCACTGGAGGAAGCAGGGTCCAGGCTGTGGAGGTTTCAGCCCCTGTGCCTGAAAGGGTGGCTTTGACTGTGAGGAGGTCTAGGGAAGGGGAGGGGAGCTTTGCTGGAGCTGGAGCCCAGAGCCTGAGGAGCTTCGCCTGTTGTGAAGGTAAGTTCCCAAGGTCACCCCAGGAGGAGTGGCCACTTAGCATTTTATTTTGCCCATCTGATAATTTGGGTTTGCAGAGACAGATTTGGCCATTTCTGCAGGTAGATTCAACATCATCTTCTGAAGAGTCAATCTGTTCAGTGAGCAATTTATTTTCAGCAACTACACACTATGTATTTCTCAGAAAAGCTCTGGAAGGGTAGGGGTTGGTAGGGATTCTGGGGGAAGGGCAGTGGGCAGGGCTTGGATGTGACCCCAGCACCAGAGGTTTTTAAGGGATGAGTGTGGGTTGTGAGGGCCCCAGAGGGAGTGCCCAGAGCTTGGCTCCACTTCTGGGCAGGCCACAGCCACCCCGTGGCAGCCTCAGCTATAGGTCAGGGCTCAGTGTTGCAGCTGGTAGGACCAGCCAGAGGGGGCTACCTTCAGGCACTGGCACAGTTCAGTGCAGAGCACAGGTTTTGGGCATTGGTGAAGATTTATAGGAGTATCAAAGACCGCCAATCTTCCCCTGGCACCACCACTGCATATGTCTTTGGCCATGGACTCCCAGTGCCCCAGAAAGACCCTCTGTACCCAGCACCTTGCTGGAGTAGGAAGCAGGCCCCAAGCCCTAGTTCAGCTTTGTGACCTTGTACAGAGTGACCTAGCTGTCCTCTAGGCTCTCTGCTTTTACCTCATAGGATGAGAAGGAGCTTGGGCCAAATAGGCTTAGTCAGACCACTGGTTGTGATGTGGAGCATGTGTCTGCTCCCCTGGAGACCACCCCACATCCCGGAGCACAGGGAGACCCACTCATCCCCTTTGGGGAAGAAGGGCACCAAGGCCTGCATGGTGGGCCCATAAGCACCCCAAAATCCTTCCCCTTCATGCCACTCACGTGAAGCTGGCATCCTCGCCCTCCTTAGCTTGGCAGGTCCCCCCATTTCCACAGGAGCTGCTGGAACAGCTGTCCAGGGATACCTCACAGTGTCGGCCCTGAGAGGAAAAGTCAGGTGTGTGTGCCCCAACAGAGGCAGCCAGCATCTCTGCAGCTCAGCCTCACTATCCCAGGAGACACTTGTTTATTTTTTCATTCATTCATTTATCCACCCATTCATTCATTCATCCATACATTAGGTCACTGATGATAGGTTCACCCAAGCACCTGCTGTGAGCCAGGCTCTGCTGTGGCACTAGGGACAGCCTGAAGAAGCCAGACAGACAACCCTGCCTGGCCTGCAGCACACATGCAGAGCTGCCTTCTCCCAGCCTCAGCCTCTGCTCACCTTATAGCCACTGGGGCAGGCACACCTATACACCTCAAGGGGGTCGTTGTGGCAGGTACCCTGATTTTGGCATGGGCTGGACAAGCAGGGGTCACACTTGGTCTGGACAGCCAGAGTGGGGGGACCTGTGGGGACAGAAATGTTAGTGTAGAGAGGTGGAGACAGCTACACAGGTCTGTGCCCAGAGCCCCAAATCCCTGAGAAGCTCAGCCCTGTGGAGGTGGTGGGATGACACTTCCCAAGATTCTCTCTGTGTCCTTGGGATACTGAACAGTCCTCCTCTTGCACAGTTCACCTTTCAGCCTCTGGACCCACTTCTGTGCTAGGGGCCAATGCCAGCCCTGATCTGGGCTGGAATGACTAACTGCTGGAATCTGCAGAGTGCTTGGTGGATAGGCACTGCAGGCATGTGAGGTTTGGCATCACATTATCAGCATGAGAGTGGCACAGTCATCACAACTGAAGTCAACTGATATTTCCTCTTCCCCTCACACCCTCCTGACACATGATGCCAGCCTGCGGCCCACTTACAGGATAAGAGGGTAAGCAGTCACTGGCAGAGGAGAAGGTTATTTCTGAGCTCAGCTCTGCAGGGAGGCCACCTGGGGCGACACATGTGTCTTGAGGTTGTTCCTCTCTAAGACTAAGGCAGGGGGACCCCCTTCAACCACCTCCTGAGCTAAAGCAGGCTCCTCTACAGCCCTCCTGGATGTAGCTGTACAAGTAGATGGAGAAATCGGTGACCAGGCTAGTGGGCACCACATGTAAAGGACTTTGGGACCTTGCAAGATAGGTAGAAAAACCAGGCCAGTTAACATGGGCTTCCCCATAAGGCTCCTTCTAGAAGCAGGGGCACATCAGTGCTGCCAAAGAGACATGAACAGAAATAAGAACACTTTTCAGTAATGCCAGAAAGCTAGTGAGGAACTTCCAGGCACAAGGTAGGGTCTGTTTCTTGATCCAGATGCTGGCTGCACAGTGAGTTCAGTTAGTGAAGATACAATGAGCTCTTCACTCATGTATGTGTGTTATATTTTAATAGAAAGTTTTTAAAAACTGCCAGCATCAATCCTACCCTGTTCCGTAAATACTGAGCATACACTAGTGTCAAATGACCTGCCTCCAAAAGCCTCACCACAGGCTGGCCCTTCTGAACCAGTACCACTCAGACAGCATCCTGCACCCAGGGTGCCCCAGAGCCTCCTCATTAACCTATGCCTATCATTTTCATTTCTGAGGTGGCTTCTGAGCTTGCAGGGAGCAGGGGCCATGGCCTTCCCCTGGGGGACCCCACACACAAAAAGCTGTGGCTGAGACAGCCACTCAGTCCCCTATGTTCAGCACGGCCTCTGGGGCTCAGCCATCAGCCAGCCAGTCAATCATTCCCAGAGCAAGTATCTACAGATATTTGAGGTAAGGTGCCCAGACCCAAGCCAGAACAAGCTGGTTCACCAGCTCCACCAAGAATGGAGAATTTAAGCTAATTGCTGAGCAGGATTCCTACCTAAGGGAGGCCAGAGTGCTTGCACTGCTGAGAGGCTGAGCGCCTCCAGAAACACTGCTGCTGTTTTCATTTTTCTTATAAAACTTCAGGGAGGGATTAAGCCCTGATGACCTGAGATTTTTTTGTTTGTTATATGCCAGGACTGAAAGCAGCCAGCCATCCTAACAAGCAGCAAGTGCCTCATCCCTGCCACTTGACGCTCCCTCCAATGGTCACCTCAGGGACACAGGAGTCTCTGGAAGGCCTTGCCAGAGGTAGATTAGGTCCAAACTCCCTAGTAGCAGGGGGTAGGACTCTTATCAGCACCTGCCACCCCTTTCTTCATGCTCCTGAACTCACCTTGGCATTCAAACTTCTTGGCAGGTGTGGTGAGCAGCAGCTTGCCCTCCATGTCAGGAGGCCCAGTGCAGCGGGCAATGCCTGGCTCCTTGTAGCCAGTTTTCACCCAATTGGATAGCCAGCGGAGGTGACAGTCACAGTACAGAGGATTGGCACCAATAGCCCTGCAGCAGAGAACAGAGACAAGCAGGCATTACAGCTTCAGGGAGTCTTTTACTCTCTGGGCTCCTAAGGTCCCACACACTGTACCAGGGGCTGGCAAAAATCCTACCAGCACCCATTTCATGGGCATTGACTTGTAGCCAGTACCGTTTCAAGTTCTTCATACACATCATCTTGCTTAGTCCTCACTACACCCTCTTATCCCTATTTAAATGTGCAGAAACTGAGGTTCACAAAGGTTGAGAAACTTTCTAAAGAGTACACAGGGAAAGAGAAGAACTGGGATTTGAACCCTCATTGCTGAGGCCAGAGCATATGAATGCATCACCTCCCGTGGACACGGGGGAGAAAATAACCAATATTTACAGACACATCTTAGGAATGAGACAGCTGCTTTTTCTGCACTCATGCATTGAATCTTCTCATTAACCCCACATGCAAGTTTTCATTTCTGCACCTTCTAGAGGTAGGAACTGAACCTTACATGGAATCAGTAATTTCCCTGGAGTCACACTACTAGTGAAGGGCAGCCCCTGGGTCCAGTCCCAGAGCTGTGCCTCAAAAGTCCATACTCCTTATTTTTCTTTTCAGTTTTAATTACACAAAGAGCACATGAATGCATTTTCATTGTAAGCTCCTTCTAAATGCTGCAGACAAAGCAGAAGTCTCCACCCACACAACACTGTGAATGTATTAAGTGCTACTGAGCTGTGTGCTTTAAAAAGGTTAACTTTATATTATGTAAAGTTCACCTCAGTTTCTTTAAAAGGCACTTTCCTGTGTTATTGATGGGGTGCAAAATGGCATAACTCCTGGAGGGGAGTTTTGTGATAGCTACCAAATTACCAATACAGTTGTCTTTCTGGGACGTATCTGCACACGCATGTAAAGACATCTGTGTGATGGCATTGTTTTTAACAGAAAGACTGGCACTTATGGGTTGAGTGTCCCTTCCAAAACTTATGTTAAAATTTCATTACCCTTGTGAATGTCAAGTGGTGCACATTAAGAAGGGATGAGGACAAGAGGGCTCCTGAGCTACCTCGAGTGCTCACTTGTGCTTTCACCAGGCCATGACATATGCTCTTAAGACTTCCAGGCCCCTAGACCTGTAAGCCAAATGGACTTCTACTGTTTATAGTTTACTGGATCTGTGGTGTTCTTTTATAGAAGCACAAATGGACTAAGACAGCTGGGAAACCCCACTGGTCATCAAGGAGGGAGCAGTAAACTGTGCATCAGAAGCGTAAAGTCCACTGTCACAGCCCTCCACAGAGGAGCACATGGTTGCATGGTCAGGCAGCTCTCTAGCCCCTTCCCACAGAGACGCACACATGATTCTTCCTCACAGGTCATATCCAGACTCCTCATTTCCCAGCAGCTTGCTTCTTGTCACCAAACAGCACACCTTGGAAATCTTCCAGGTCAGCATAGGTGGATCCACCTCATTTTGTCAAACTGCTTCACAGTATTCAAAAGAGTGCTATAGGACACTCCAGAACACCCAGTGGTTTAATAAGTGGCTTCCCTGCTGCTGCACATCCTGGAGGTTCTAACAGCTGGGAGTACTTAGACATGCCTCCAGGTGAGGTATGAGAATTTCTCTAAAACAGATGCTAAAAGCAGAATTTGGTGGCAGAGAGAGTGCATGTCAGATGGTACCAGCTGCCCCCCAAGAGGCCAGCAGTCAGAGGCCATTCCTATGCCCTCACATCGAACATGTATTGCCAACCTCCCAGCCTTTGTGCCAATCCAGTGGGCAAGCTCAGAATCTCTTCCCTCTGCCCCAGGTACAGACACAGAGATGGATGAGACATGGCCAGAAGGAAAGGAAGGGCCTGAGATGTTTGATTCAGCAAATAGAAGAGTCAGTGCCTCATATCTGCAGTGCATCAACATTACTTTGAAAGCATAAGGCTATATAGTGTTAGTAAGGACAGGCACATTTGTTAAGTTACCAAGGGATGTGCTGCCATTTTCCACTCTTTCTGGGCAATACAGAGATGTGCGCAGTCTGATAAAAGCTGCAGCAGCTCTGAACAGGAATTCTCCAGAATAGCAGAGCTGATAATATGCGACCTTATAAAATGGGCTGAACAAGACTTGGACTCCACAGCTGCTCCCTGCCCGGATGACCTTGAGCAGCCCACTTAACATCTCTAGGGCTCACTTTAGGATTCAATAAAGAGTTTGCAGTCTAGAGGGGGAAGAAGGACAAGCACATATAACCTACAATGGGCACTGAGGGAATCACAGAGCTCAGCAAAGAACACAGTTTTGACCTTGACATGTATTTAATTCTTTCTATCCTTATATGCTGACAGTATCCATCCTGGCTAATGGGATGAATGAGACTGTCCTCTTTACTGAGCAATACCAGGGCCTCTCAGATGTACAGGAAGGTCACTGGTGTGTTCAAAAACAAAAGCCTTTTAAAGCAACAAGAATATAAAAATTGTGGATTATTCAAAACATTTACATTTGCCAGGTTTTTTATATTAATAAAAAGTACAATCTAACATGTTATCCAGAAGACAAATATAACATTTATAGTGCACTACAAGGAGTGTGCTCCAGTGATGAGGCACAAGTTAAAAGTTTATTAGGAGTGGCTGCTGCTTTCAGTCCTGTAGATGATTAGAGAAAATTCCAGAAAGACTGAGTCTGAGGCTGCCATGAATGTGGGGGCCCTTGATGTCTCTTAGGATCTTCACAAATCCCCAGATTGGTGCAGGTGTTCCTCCATAAATGGCAGCAAACCTGCACCTCCTAAGTGTCCCTTCCTGACTCTTAATAATAAAAACTGTGAGTCCAGAATCACATAAAAGCTATTCAAGCTGGGTGTGGTGATGCATACCTGTAATTTCAGCTCCTGAGGAGGCTGAAGCAAGAGGATCACAAGTTTGAGGCCAGCCTGGGCAACTTAGTGTAACCTTGTCTCAAAATAAAAAAATCTAGGGATGTAGTTCAGTGGCTTCAGAAGAAAAGCTCTTCAAAAACATAAATCCTGGCTTGACCCACATGTGATGATGTGATGTTCCTTGTTTCTCTTTTGTGTAGAGTCTGAGTTACACCTGAATTCAACATTTTGTGCTTTCATTTATCCGCAGCAGGATCTTTGTAACTAAGGACCACTGTACCCTCTCTTCAGTTGTACTTTTCACTTTCATCCTTCTCAATAAAAACTACTGTGAAGTGCAATTTATACATGTTAACCAAAAATAAAAAGAAAGAAAGAAAGAAAGAAAGAAAGAAAGAAAGAAAGAAAGAAAGAAAGAAAGAAAGAACTACTGTGAACTCAGTGGGGGAGTGGAGAGCCACAGGCTCAACAGAGATGAAGTTGGGTGGGGTTGGGGGACAGCAGCCAGGCCACTGTCAATCTAAAAGGGCCCTTGATCCAGGTACACACCCTAGCAAAGGTATAAATAGCCCTGTGTTGTTGATCTTTGGTGTAACTTGGACACTGCTGAAACAGCGGCTATTCAGCAGTGCCAAGGCACTGCTGCCGTCTATTAACAGAACCTGGCTGGAAGCAGCTTCCTCCTCGTCTGGAGGCCAATGAGCACTCAAACTCTACGCCTCTGCTCATCTAACTCCTAGGCAATTTGTGTGTAGTAATGTCTCCTTCTTCTGGACTTGAAGGCAGTAGAAGTTGTTCCTTGAGGACAGGCCAGACACCAGCAGGCATCAATATGTTTGCTGAGTGAATATCTGCCAAAAGGCAGGAGAAAGGTACAAAACCTCAGCGGAAGAAAGTGCAAGAAGAATCATCGAAAAAAGTGCAACTAAATTAATTTTAGTGTATATGCTTTCAATATTGGGGGTGTACAGATTTATACACCATTGAAATCACTTCTTGCATTTTATCAGATAACAAATTAGTGTCATAATTATCAGTAACTATTTTCTCTTCTGTCATCTGAGTATGCCATATTTACTTAAGCATTCCATATTGATTTTGTTTTTGGTACCAGGGATCAAACTCGGGAACTTGCTCTTGCAAGGCAGGCAGCAGAACCACTGAACTAAATCCCCGGCCCTCCATATTGACTTTTCACACCTAATACTTAATAGATTTGGTTGTTGTTTTTTGTTTTTTGGTACTGGGGATAGAAATACTTAATAGATTTGGAAATCTACCTTTCTAGCCTATAGCAGATTAGAGGCAGCAAAATGCAGGCTTATAACAAGGAAGAATGACATTGGGGAAATTTAGCATAGGATCTGGCACACAGTAGATATTTACCAACCAATAGATGGATGCTGCTCTAGTTTGGATCATGAATAACCCCCAAAGGCCCATGTGTTGAAGGCTTGGTCCCTAGCCCTTGGCACTATTTGGAGGCGGTAGAACCTTGAAGAGGTAGAGCCCTTGAAGGTGACACTGGAACTCAGGCCTCTTCTCTTCCTCCCTCTTTGAATCCCACCCACCATGAGATAAGCAGCTTCTTCTGCCACACATTTTTTCATGATGTTCTGTCTCACCACAGACCCACAAGCAATGCAGCCAACTAGCATGTACTGAAACCTCAGAAAATGTGAGCCAAAATAAACCTTTCCTCTTTGTAAGTTAATTACCTTAGGTGTTTTGTTATAGTAATAGATGGTTGATTTAACAGATGGACAGGTGGCTAGACAAATGGTTCATCTTTCATAGATGAGCTAACTGAAAAGTAAACATAAAAGTAGATGGCAGCAGAGAGATATATAGGGAATTGAAGCCCAGGACAGGGAACAGCACTCACAATCATTATGGCATGTTTAAATCATAGGAGACCTTAGGAATAACCTTTGTACAGGTAAGAGAAGAGTCCTAAAAAAAACAATGAATTGTTTGAGATCCCACTGCAAGTTGATTCCTAGCCTAGAGTTCAAGGGATTTAAATGTAGTGATCCACCCTCCTCTATACCCTTGTCCTCCACACACCTCCTCTATACTGCCTATAGACAGGAGAGGGTCCAGCAAGGGTCATAGCAGAACCAAAGGGCTTCTTAGGACTGTTCGCACTTTGATGAGCCATGAACACAGATGCTGTCACTTGGCCAATCCTGACTTGTTATGAAGCCATGCCACATCCCTCCTGAAGCCTCCACATGGCTTTTGCAGATGACTCTCATTAAGCGCAGAGTGAATGCTGTGTGTCTATGTCATCCTCTTACCATTCCTTACTCTTTGCAAGTGCTCAGGAAATCCTGGTGGAAGGGCTGTAGCTCCTCAGTACAGCAGAGAGGGTGGATGCATATATTCCATCAGTCCTGCATGTGTATATGTGCATGCCTGAACACAATACATACACACTTTCCAGGTGACTGCCTATTTCCATTTTAAGCTCTGGGTTCACAGGACAGAATTTATTACAAAGGTGCTTCATTAACAATAAAAGGTTTCTTCCAAACAGATGCTGTTTTACAGAGCGATTGATCTGAGATGCAATTAACAAACACATCTGATCACTAATGCCATTGTCTTGTTCTACAATTACTGCTAAAGTGATCTTTACTTATTTTATTTCTTATAAATTGAATCTGGCTTCAGACCTGATGTCCTTGTTCTTCTAAAGAGAGATGTAGGCTCAAACTTTGGTTTTGTAGCTTCAGCTTTTTTGTTTGTTTGTTCAGAACATATATAGTTGGTTTGCTTCCCATTTGAAAATCAAAGCCTTTAGATTTTGAACTAGAGATAACATTAGAAAATATTCAGCTATTATTCAATTCTCATGAGGAAGAAGGAAGGATGTTAAACCACAAGCAGAAGGGGTACACTAAGAGGGAATCCAAAGGTGGAAAAGGTAGACTAGATGCTTGGGAGGTCCTGGCCTGACAAGAAGGAGCATGAAGCAGACAGCAGCCAAGGGGCCATGACCCGGGGATCTCCAAAGGGGGCTTGGCAGTCACATGCAGCAGCAGTTCCTGGTGCCTGGAAGAGACATGCTCCCTGGAGAGCAGTTTCTCCCATGTAGGTCCTCAGATTCTAAAGGCTAATGGTCATCAAAAAGGAGCTCACAGTAAAAAATTACAAAACATAAATGGAAACAAGCCCCTGTGAATTCAAGTCAATAGGAGCAATAAACAGTACTGGCCCTGCCTGGCCTTTGTCCAGAGCCACCATCTCCAGCTGGGCTCACTCCTGCGTCCTTCCATCCCCTCCAGCTTCTGTCCCACCACTGGCTTTCCGGGAGTTTTTGACAACTTTATTCTTCCACAATTCCCTTCTACTTATAAAATGAAGTCCAAAGTCCTTAGCCTGGCAAACAAAGCTATTCAAGATGGCATTCCATTGTTCCTTTACAGTCTCAGCTTTTTCCACCCCACATTCCACCCCAGACAAACACCCTTTCTCTTAGCTGGATGACAACATTCCTGAATGTGTCATTTACTTTCTTGGCTCTGTGACTTTGTGCTTGCTACCCCTCTTCCTGGATGCCCTTCCCACCTTCTCTAAATGGCAAACTCTTGATATCTCCTCAGTGACAACATAAATGGCACCTCTTCGTGAAGCTCCTCAGACTTTCCCAGAGTTAGAACTGCTTGCTTCAATTTCTCTTGATAGTATCCAGATGGTCACAGAAGGCAGAGAACTTGTATTAGTAAATTCTACCAGCACTTGACTCACTGTGTTTTGCCAGGACATATTTATTGAGGCAATAAAGAATAAATAGTGATCTTGTAATCAGACACACCTAGGTTCAAATCCTATTTGTCATTTCCTAGCTTTAGGACCTGCTTAGCTTTTCAGAACCTAGGACTGGAAAATGCAAATAATCACTCCTACCACCTTGAATTTACCCATTCCACTTCCATAACAGACATTACTAATCAATCACTGCACTCTTCCCACCAGCTCCAGACCACCTCTGAAATCTTCAGTGTGGTGCTCCAGGCAGTGGGCAGACTCAGCTTTCGACACAAAACCTAGTTCCTATTTTGATCATAGAGTAAACAAGACACCACAGATGATGTACAGTGTTTGACTCAAGCAGATCCTCCAAAAGTGGCTGGGACTCTTTTACTTCCTCAAGTCTAAGACTCTCAGATGCACCACTGGTGTAGCAGGCTTTGGAAGGATGGGAGACATTACTGTGCTAAAGGTACACATCATTTTAGGACACATTCTGATCTGAGAGATGAAAATGTGGGTAAGGGAGTCACAGAACTGGGAAAATCTAGTGAAAGTTTAACTGAATGAACTTCAGGAGAGATCCTGGGGATCCCACGGGCCTGGGTAAGCTTGTTCATTTGGGCCCTGGATGTGGGGCTGAGAGCCATAGGGGTCAGTCACACCGAGGGTCCCAGCTGGGTCCATGTGGCCGGAGTTCATGTACATTGTCTCAGCCAGTAGTGCCAGGAAATGCCAGGAGAGGCATCTGTTGAGATCCAGCCCTACCTCCACAGTGAGGCTGGCCCTGTCTTGGCCCAGAGCTTCTTTATTTCTTCACAGTTTATATGGTTAAATGCATACAATATAAAATGTGCCATTTCCATCACTTTATAATTCAGTAATGTCGATTACAATGTTTTACAACCATCACTACTATCTATTTCCAAAATATTTTTATCACCCCAAAAGAAAACTCTGTACTCCTCATTCTCCTTGCCTTCCTCCCCAGGGCTTCCACACTGACCTACATCCCTGGTTCTTTTTAAATGTTCTATTTTGAAACAAGTTCTCACTAAGTCACTGAGTTTCCTGGGTTGGGCTTGAACTTGCCATCCTCCTGCCTCAGCCTCCCAGAGTGCTGGGATTATAGGCAAGAGTCAGTGCACCTAGCTTGTGTTTACTTTTTGAGGAACCAAGGCTATCACTTTTAAGGAATTTTCACAGTACTATCAGCTAAATGTTTCTGGAAGTCATTCTGCCTCAATTGCACCACTTTGGGAGGTACTAAATTCCTGGAATTTAACCTCCATGGTTTAAGTTAGAAACACGGTTTTGGTGTAGTGCTTAAAATCATGGGCATTGAGGTCAGAAACTCCACCACCTACTAGCTGTGCAACTTTGGGAAAGCTCCCTGCTGTTTCTGGGCCCGTGAAGGGCAACAGTACTTATGTTGTAGGATCACTGTGGGCATCGTACTAGTTGACACAGATGGGCACTGTTACCTTGAGCAAGGCTAGGTCTATACCACTGTGGTTGGTGAGCCATGAGTGTGACAGAGGCTGGGAAAGTACATATGCGAAGTTCTGGCAGTCTGAGGAGCTGGGGTCTCCCTCAGAATTCAAGTTCTGTTTAAATCCAAAGAGGGCCAAAGAATTGGGCTGGAGTACTCACAGGTGAGACAGTGAGGTCACATCTGCGAAGATGCCCTCTTGGAGGGTGGAGACATCATTGCCATGGAGGGACCTGAAGAGAGAAGAAGCTGCCAGTGCTTGGTCCAGAGACAAGGGTCGAGATCTGATGCAGGGGCAGTCCTGGCCCTCTATGAAGGGACATGCCCTGCATATCCTTCCCATCTCTCAGTCAGTGCCATGACCCTGCCTAAAGAGTATGCCCTGCTGGCCCCAGGGAAAGAGGAAGCCCTTAATGGCCTAGGCAGACCACTTTGTTCTCAGTCCTTTGGGAGGACTCTGGCTTTGCCTTCAGAAATAACTCAAGTTAACATTTTAAATAGGTGAGTCTGAGGCTAACAGGCCAGCCATAGATGAGGGCTGGAGAACTATCACCTTGCCCCCAGTGGAGCTGACAGGGGCCATCATATAGGCATAACAGAAAGCTTTGGTCACAAAACAAAAACTCACATCTGAAGAAAGATTCAGATCTCTTGCAAACAAACATTTTCAATCTAAACAGAAGTCTCATATGCAAATGGACACTCCTCCCCCATATACACTACAAAATCAGCTTGGGGGAGACAGCACCCTCTTTTTGAATCATCTCCCATTCCTAATGGGTTCTGTAAGAGGCTTGAGTGAGTGTTCTGGATTCCTGCCACTGGACATGGCATTGGCCCTGCTAAGGCCCCAGACATGGAGATATTTATGCTACCAGGTGGAGGGCAGGGCCCTCTGTGGGGTGGACTTTCTGGAGGAATGAACCATGAGAAAACTTACAGCAGGCGCAGGGAGCGGAGCCCCTGGAAGGCCAGAGGAGGGATGCACTGGAGGGCGTTGTAGCTGAGGATACTGTGGGGAGGAAGGAAGAAAGAAGCTCTGTCAGAAAAGAAGGTACAGTACCTACCCCATTGTAATAAGTAAAGAAACTGAGGCTCAGTGTGGTGAAAGAACATCCTCACAGTCATGTTATTAACTTTTTAGAAGGGGTTTTCACTAAGATTCTGTTTCCAGACCCCACACACTAAACCACTATCCTTAAATGTTTCCAAATAAATGAATCCATTTAGGGGAGACAGGTGGACTAACAATGAAGATGATACCTGCAATGGCCCCACCGTGGGAATAGCTCTTGTTTCCACTGACTAAGACACAGACAAGCCATGGCATATCTACATAATGGAATATTTCTTGGTCATCTAAAGGAAGGAACTACCAATATGTACAATACTATGGATGAATCTAGGGATTCACTTTGACTGTGGTGCTGGTCTGCTGAGTATGCACATATTCAGACTTGTAAAATTTTACACTCTAATATGAGCAGTTCATTGTGCATGCATTGTACCTTAGTAAAGCTATTTTTTAAAATAAGAAATGAGCCAGACATGATGGCGCATGCCTGTAATCTTAGTACTTGGGAGGCTGAGGAAGGAAGATCATCATGAGTTTGAGGCCAGCCTGAGCTACTCAGTGAGTCAGGGCCAACTTGAACAACATAGCAAGACACTGTATCAAAAAAAAAAAAGGAAAAAAAGAAAGAAGGAAAGAAAGAAAAGGAAGGGAAGAAAGAAAGAAAAGAAGAAAGGGAGAAAGGAAAGAGCTATCCATATTATATATATTATACATCCATATTATAGCTGTCTCTCTTGTGGCTGCCAGGATCCCTCAGGCCAGGATTTCTCAACCTCAGAATTAGTGGTAATTCTTGGTCAGGGGGGTTGCCCTGTGTCTTGAGGGATGTTTGGCAACCTCCCTAGCCTTAACTCATTTGATGCCAGCAGCATCCTCCCTCTGAGATGTGCTAACCACAGACGTTTTCAGACATTGCCAAATGTCCCTGGAGGGCAGGATCTTCAGGTTGGGAACACAGGAACACAGTCCTACACCAAGGTGGCTTTATACCAAAGTTCCGAAGGCCCTGCCAAGGCTAAGTCTCACAATCAACAATCAAGTTACAGGGTGTCACGGAGACTGGGAAGTGGTGACCTGCTGACTGGGGCAGATAAGCTCAAGTGTGGAACCCAGACAGGTCCTTCCTGGCCTCAAGCCCATAGTGTGCTCCTGGGGCCTGGCAGGGTCACATATGACCCTGCCTTTCTTTCTTGAGAACTAGCGCCACTATTTGACCTCGGTAAAACCTTGGGAAAGCCCCAAGGTTCCTGGTGTATGATGGGTCTCCTGAGGTGTTGGGAGGTGAAGGAGATGCACTCCTAAGTACAGGCAAATCTAAAGGATGCTTATTAATACCTTCTGCTCAATTGCTTGAAAATTTCTTAGGTTCTAGGCATAAAAATGTTCAAAGGGTCTCTGCTCACAACAGCCCAAGCTGGGAAGAACCCCAATACCGATGAATAATTCAATGGATGAGGGAGGTATGGCACATTTCTGTGAAGAAACACTATGTAGTAATGAAAACAAACAGACCACAGCTACACACAACAGGAATGGATCTCATGGACATAATAACATTCAGCAAAAGAAGCCAGGTGTAAATGGAGGTACCCTCCATGATTCAATTTATATGAGGTTTAAAATGGGAAAATTGGGCTGGGGATTTAGCTCAGTGGTTCCGCCGCCTGCTTCGCAAGCATGAGGTCCCAAGTTCAATCCCCAGTACCAAAAAAAAAAAAAAAAGAAAGAAACAAATAAAATGGGAAAATTGAACTATATTGTTTAGAAATACATATGTAGCTGGGCATGGTGGTGAATGCCTGTAATTCTAGCACTCAGGAGGCTGAGGCAAGAGGATCAGCGGGAGTTTGAGGCCAGTCTGGGCTATATACTGACTTCAAGACCAGCCTGCACTACAAAGCTCAAAAAAGAAAAAATAGAAATAGGGCCGGGGATTTAGCTCAGTGGTTTCGCTGCCTGCTGTGCAAGCTCAAGGACCCAAGTTGGATCCCCGGTACCAAAAAAGAAAAAAGAAAAAATAGAAATACATATGTAGATGGTCGCACTATAGAGAAAATTAAAGAAGCGGCAATCACCACATCAGGATGGGGGCTGCCTTGAGGTGGTCGGAGGGAGAAGTAATGACCAGGAAGGAACAAGGCAGGCTGTGTGTGCTAACACTGTTTCACTTTTTCCTTAGGTGTCTACACATGTGCTAGGTTTATGATTATTTGTTAAAAGGGTATATTTATATTTGTTGCACTTTTCCATGTATGTGTTGTATTTTACAATGAAAGATGTTTTAGTTTTCAGGTTCTCCATTAGCCTCTGGTGGGTGAGGGAGTCTGCACAGGGTTACTGTGAATGACTGGGAAGCCATGCCCGGCACAGGCTAAAGCCATGGCTCTGTGTGCCCAACCCTGGCCCTGCTGGTACTCACAGAGTGGTCAGCTGGCTCATATTGGTGAAGGAGGAATTGCTTAAGGAACTGATCTTGTTGTTACTGAGGTCCCTGGAAAAGCAAGAGCATCATTTGGAAAGAACTCAACTCTGGCTCACTTCTTGGGCTTCTTCCCTCTCCATCTGCATCCCTCCCCAGCCAGGAGGGCCAAGGCCCCACTACTCTGGTGGAGTGGGGTAGCCACTGAACTCCCTGTTTGTACACACAGGGCTGCTGCACCCCCCTTACCACCAGGGGAATGCTTCCACCAAGGCCACTGGTCACCTCCTACCTGCCATGTCTGATGATCTTCTTTCTCTGGCTAGCAATCTGCACAGTAGTGCTTAGCCCTCCCCCACAATCTTGTGAGGGAGAGTGACCCTATTTTACAAATAAAGACCTAGAGTCTCACAGGGATTAACTCACCCCGGACTGCCAGCTGGCCAGAGGCAGAGTTAGGCTCTACCCCAGGTGCAGTGGACCACCCTTCATCCCTGTCTTTCCTGGACCCCTGACTATCTGTCACTCCTGCCCCCTCTGTGGCCTTGCGTTCTTGGTCCCTGGTAACTATCATGTCTCAGGATGCTAAGGTCCCACCATGTCCTCCTTTAGTCCATGTTGAAGTTGCCACCCTGTGGCCCCAGCCTGTCTTCTCACCAGAACCCTCAGCCTGATGCTCCACAGGCCCTCAGACTGGATGGAGCCCAGTCTTGGCTTCCTCCTCCCCTCAGCCTGGAAATGGTACCCCTCCCACATCTCAGGCCACTCATTTGATATCACTGGTTTGTGCCTTGCATCATCTTTTATACCATCCCCTCTTCCTAGGTTTCTGCTTATGTCAAGCCAACATTGCCTCTCTTCTGGTTTCCACTGTCATTTCTTCATCTTCCCAGGGACAAATCTGATGTGGTCACTTCCTTATCAAAAACCTGCTCCTTTCTGTCTGAAGTGGGAATTCTAGCCCTAGCCCCTGAGAGGTGCTCCCCCCACCCCCCGACAGGTGCTCCCCCCACCCCCCGCCAACTGACTTACTAAACTTCCTGAAACTCTCTGAGAATCCCACAGGCCTGTGCCCTTGGATATTCTGTTCCCTGTACCTACTGACTCACCTTCAAAGATGCTCCCCTTGCAGCCCCCACCCTGAGCTCATCACACCCTCCTTTGGGCCACAGGCTGCTCCTGCCTTAATGTGGGACCCTTAATGCTCCCTGTGATTGCATGAGCTCCCGTCTCTCTCCTGCATCCTCCCTAGACTATGACAGTCTCGGGGAGGCCCATGACTGGGACCTATACATCTGCCTACCTCAAAAAGTGCAGCTGGACTCTGAAATATGCACAGAGTGAAAGAATATGCCCTGTCTTCATCTTCTCCTGGTCCCTTCCTCTACCTAATCTAATTCAAAATCCTCCCTTGTTTTAAGGATATAGTTAGGCACTTCACTGAACATTCAACATACTGTGGTCCTACCCTGTGATGGGGAGGTAGAGACATTTCAGCCCTGGAGAGGCAGCACCACAGGAAGAGCCAGCCTGATGTGAGTGCTCTGTTCCCACCTTTCCTCCTCAAGTGGAGCTGAGCCATCCATAGGTGGAGCTGCCACAGGCTAGGCCACAGAAAAGCCAGGAGCTCATAGTATTCAGTCTCTTTCTCTGGCTCTCTGTCACTAGCCACCAGCCACTGTTTCACCCCTACCCCTGCTGGAATGGTGACATTCTCAAAGTCATTAAGCAAAGGCAAGTAAGTTAGAGCTGCAAAATTCCATAAGCAGTGCTTCTCAAAGCAGCCAGTCCTTGAGCTGAATGCTACCAGCCCATAGCAAGGAACCTGTGCCAAGAGCAACCTAAACACAGTTTAGTTTAGCTAACAATGTTTTCGTAGCAAGACTTTCTCAATGCAGGAAAGCAAGATGTTCATTTACACTCCGGTGAAAGTTTCTTATCTAAATACAACCCCACTACAGACAGTTCTCAGACTGACATTTGTCCTCAGGCCACACTTGGAGGAGGGCTGCTCCAAGCCACACTAAGATGGGATGTTCTCTGGACCTCTTTTTGGTAGAATCGGGCCAATGGGTAAATAAAGACAATTGAAGTGAGGTACCAATTAGGCTACAAGGTTAAGGGTAGTTGAACTAATTATCTTGAGACTTATTTTATACATTTCCATGGGTAGAAAGGGTGAAAGGTGGAAATAACAAAAGCAGATGTCAGCCTAAGAAAAACCTATTTACAAATGTGTTTTTCCAGCTGTCCTGTTTTCTATTGGGTTTGGAGGCTGACGTTAGACCAAGAGGTTTCCCATCATCCATCACCCTATACTTCTGCCCTGATTCCTATCTTGCAAGGATTGGTTGAGTTAACAATAATTTTAGCCAGCTCTAGAGGGAGATGATGTGGGCAGAAGCAAACAGGTCTCACCCAATAGGGCTGGAAGGGTGCAATTGCAAAGCATAGCCACTAGGTGGCAAAACAGCTCTAGGCACACGTGTTCCCACAGCGAAGTGGGGATTTGCAAACAGGAGCTGCCCAGAAGTAGGGTTTGTAGGTAATTCTCCCCAAAATTGGAGCCATGATAGTCAAATGCCCTTCTGAGGCAGGCCTGAGACCCTCAAACCCTGAATACTCACACAAGTTGCAAGTACTTGAAGGTGGAGAGTTGACCCGGCACCAGTGTGAACTGGTTGCCATCCAAGTAGCTGCAGAGAGAACACAGTGGGGTCAGTGGTCTGGCCCTGCTTGTCACATGCACTTACCCCCCCCCCCACATGAGTTCAGACATAAATCCAAATCAAGTCTTCAACACACAGTCCTCTGTGTCTAGAGGTTTCCCTGAAGGATGTTCACCTTGGTGTTACTTATACAGTAAAAATTGGAAACAACTTAAACATCCAATAAAAGGGGATTTATTATCTAGAGCATAATCAACCCATGTGAATAACATTCTGTCATTAGTAAACAAAAGATCACATTTGTAAGCATCTTTGCAACAGTGGGGAATGCTCACAAGACAACAAGTGGAAACAATAATGTTCTCTATTTTTAACACAGAGCTTAGTCTAAAGGGATGAAACTCTTGCCATGGGGATGTGTGTCATCAGGTGACTGCAGAGAGGGACTCCAAGAGGGGGGGTCAAAGCTTTCTTGGAGCTAGTATTTTCTGCAACACCCTAACCCTCCCCCCAGTCAGCCCATCCCTGTTCTCAGGCACCTTCCCTTCCTGCTGCTGTCCCCAACCCCTCAAGAAATGCTTCCTCTCCCTGTCCCTCAGGCCCTCTGAGGGTGCAAGGTCTGGGGCTACTCACAGCTCTGTGACATTTTTGGGGATGCCCTTGGGCAGAGCCCGCAGGTGCTTGTTGCTGCATCTGACCACGGTGTCCAGGCAGGCACACTCCTGGGGGCACTGTGGGCGGGGCAGGCAGCCCCCTTCCTCCTGGCCTAGGGAAGAAGGCATGAAGTCCTGTCAGCCAGGGGATGGATCTTCTTAGGGCCTCTTGCACTAGGGCCAAGTGCCACAGCCCCTCTCTGACACTGCTTTGGCCTCCAGCAAGTCCCATTTTTGCTGTACATCCTCTGTTCCTCATGTGCACACACTAACCCCACCAGAGACAAAGGCTCCTGGAACATATTCAGGTTAAAATGGGCCTGGGATTGATCTCTTCTGCCTCAGGCTCAAGGTGGAGCAGGCAAAGCAGACAAGGAGGACTGCATCCACACCATTTCCTTTGTTTTTGTTTTGTTTGTTTGTTGGAGGGTTTTTTTTGTTGTTTGGCTGGTTGGTTTTTTTCAAGACAGGGTCTCACTATTTAGTTCAGGCTGGTCTTGAACTATGTAGCCCAGATTGGCCTTGAACTTGCAGTGATCCTCCTGCCTCAGCCTCTAGAGTGCCGGGATTACAGGTGTGCACCACCATGCCCAGCTCACATCATTTCTTGAGCAACCATCCCCAGACACTATATCAGGCATTATCTCCTTTGCAGTGCACTAAAGGGGTGTTATCGTTACCCCCTAAAATGCAAGCAGAGTAAGGACAGAGACTTATCTCTCTTTTCTTCTTTGTGCTTTCTTCTCCTAGAGCCCAGCACTCAGTGCAGTCAGTGCCTGGTGAAAAGCAGCCCTCCTAATAGATCAGGTGAATTAATGAATGAACGAATGAATGAATTTCCATCTCACTGAAGTCTAGAAAGGTTAAGTTAGAAGCAATGTGGGGCCTGAGTCCAGGTCTAGCTGATGTAGGCCCTAACCAGGATCCCTTCACTGATGCATTCAATTATTCAGTAAAGATCACTGAATGCCCTCCATGACTTCCTTTTTTCTGACTGGATGCAGAGGAACAATAAAGACCCCTGGTCAGACCTGTTGAAGACATGAAGAAGCAGGTAGCACGTATTCTGGTGACAGTGGCTGTTAGTTATGAAGGGCTGGCCGTGGGTGGGCACTATATGACAAAGATGAACTCACTGAATCCTCAAACATCTCTCTAGTGGACCTGCTTGCTATTATTTGCCCATTGTAGAGATGTGGAAACTAATGCCGAGTGATTACATAACTCGCCCAAGTAACTTGCCCTGGAAGAGGTAGTACTGGGCCTAGGCTCCAGCAGGCTGCCTTGGGAACCTTCCCTCCTGACCACTAGGCCCTCCTGCCTCTTAGCAGCAACGTCTTAAAAAAAAAAATCTTTTCACTTCTAGGAAATTATTATTATTGTTTTATTTTTTTATTTTTTGGTACCGGGGATCTAACTCAGGTCCTTCCACTTGTGAGGCAGGCGGCGAAACCACTGAGGTAGATCCCCCGCCCACTTCTAGGAAATTATTGAAGAGGGAGAAAAAAACTGCACATACGCATAGAGAATTATCCACAAGACATTCCTGACAGAACGACACATAAGAGCAGAGCTTTGGATGTCTAAACGCCAGGCAGAAGGGAGTTGGTCCAATCCATTGTAATGCCCTGTAGACAATGGTGTGTCCGTCATGTTGAAAGGCCCCATAAGATCCTACCTGTGTCCTCCCGTACACATGGACACACAGCAAGGCACCAGAAAGCCACACTGCGGGATGCTGAAGAAAGGAGCCAGGGCTAGGCAGTGGGGGTGGGGTGGGAAGCACAGCGGTGATTGTTTTATTTCCCGGGTTGTCGATAAGAAATGATGATACATGGCTTTTTTATATATATAAGAAAAGCAAACAGTTTCTTGGGAGAAAGAATGCTTTCAAATGAGAGTTAATGGCAGGAGATAAAGCTGAAGATATAAATTTAGGTTGAAAAATCAGAATTAGCACTGGAGGTGTAGCTAAATGATAGAGCACTTGCCTAGCACATGTGAAGCCCTAGGTTTGATCCCCAGCACACCAAACAACAAAACACAACGCCCCCCAAAAAAGCCCAGGATTTAAAAAATTAGCAAGCTATTATTATATAAAATTGATATAGAGATGTATGTGAGTAATACAGTTTGCTTTCTTTCTTTTTTCTGGTGCTGGGGATTGAACCTGCAGCCTTCCCACCGAGCTACATTCCCAGCCCTTTTAAAATGCTTTTACTTTAAGTTGCTAGGTTGCCCAAACTGGGCTCAAACTCATGATCCTTCTGCCATAGCCTCCCAGAGTGCTGGAATTACAGGCCTGCACCACTGTTACAGAAATCTTGGAAAGAAATACACAGAGACACAGAATTTGAATAAAATAATAAAATTTCTTCTCGCGAGCGGGCGGGAACACCAAAAACCAGGCTGGTCAGTATCCGCCTCCCTTTGTTCAGTGTTTCCCTTTTTATATCCTTTTTACCCATTGTCTCACCCCTAGTGGTCTTTGATGTGTAAATACAATTCCAGTTCCTATTTATGAGTCACAGACACAAGATAGGCACATATACATGGTAAATTCACCCTGGCCTGGTAACTTCTGTTAGGTTAATGAAGTTACAGGTTAGTCAGAGTCATATAATTGTCACCTTAAACAAGGAGTTATGGGCAAAGCAAATCTTAGAAGAATACATTACTAATTTTGTTTCTACAACTACCTTAATATTCAATCTATTAAGTTATCTAAAACTTTTCCCTATCACCACTACCCCCAGTTTTTTCTTTTCATTTGAAAAGTAGGAAGCAAAACTGCTATTAGAGAGTCCATTGGTTTTGTTTAGCAAAATACTCTGATGGTTTTTCCTGGTGTGAAAGCTGAGGCTCTCCCAGCGTCACCTTCTTCCCCACGTGACCTGGAGGGGATGGTTCTACAGTGGAGCTGCTCTCTGGAACAGACTGGATTGGGGACGGGGTGGGGGGGTGCAAGGACAGTGGGACTAGAGACAAGGAAGGCATCTCAGCATCCAGCCCAGGAGAAGTTCCCCACGGTAGGGGGCTGAGGGACACTTAAGAACACAGACAACTGAGATGCAGCCTTGCTCTGTCACCTTCAGGAAAAATCTGCTTCCACCAGCAAACACGGTGTGTAATGTCCTGAGGAAAACAGGACCAGGCCGCTTCCTGGTTGTGAAGGGCAAGAGGATTGAGCGCTCAGAAGGAAAAAGGACATTAGAGTAAAAAGTGGCTAGGGTGCCCACATATGAGGGATGGAACTCAAGAGGGTCCTGCTGTATGTGAAGGACAGCGTGACCCCATGGTCTGGAGCACTCAGGAGGAGTCCAGAGGAAGGTCTCTAAGTTAAACACACTTACACAAAGAAAACACATTAAATGTTACTGTAATTTTCTCGGAGTGATGGCATAATGTGATGTTTATTTCCTTTTGTTATCTATATTTTTATGATTAGCACATTACTCCTCTTAAAACCACACAAAGGCACTTCCAGGAAGGGGTGTCTTCTTGCCTCCTGTCCCCGAATCGCCTCACCCAGGGGCATATGCAGGTGCTGCCTGCCACCCACCATGGCTCTGACCTGCCCAGCCCCACCCATGGACCCTTCTGTGGGGGCTGCCAGTTACCTTCCTCACACCTGAAGTCAGGAAAGGCCACATCCTGCAGAGGGATCTGCCGCAAGAAGTCTGGGTTCTGGCAACGAGGGTTTCCAGTCACAATCTTCCTCTTCCTCAGCCAATCGCCCAGCCAGGCCAGCTGGCAGTTACAGTTGAATGGGTTGGCCAGGAGGTTTCTGGAAAAGGCAGGTATGCGGCCATGAAGATATCCTGCGAGTCGCAGTTGACCCAGCAAGACCCTCTCCTATCCACCCCTTCCTGTCCACCACAATTGCTCAACTCTCTCAGACACCCGACAGTCACCCAGCGCATTGGCTTTCAGGACCAGAGACAGAGCTCATGGTGGTGAGAGCCGTGTTTCAGGAAGCCAGGAGGACCCCAACCTCCCCAGAGGGAAGACTGCATGAACAAGACCAGAGGAGTCCACCCCCAGGATGGCTGCTTCCACAGTCACCAGGCCACCTGTCCTCCGAGGCTGGACTCACAGCGTGGAGAGAGCCTGCAGGGTGTCAAAGGCTCCAGGGGAGATGGTGGTGATGTGATTGTCGTACAGTGAGAGGAGTCGGACATTTCGCAGGCCCGTGAAGCTGTCATTGTGGATGCAGCTGATTCGGTTGTTTCTAAGCATCCTGGGGAGAGAGAAGGGGAGAGAGGAGATTGCTGGTGGAGCCCTGAGCTGTGCCTCATCACAGTTCACCTGTGCCATGCAGCGTCAGCCAGTACCAGCTAGTTCCAGATGCTCCTCCAGAGACACAGAGCCACGGAGCAGGAACATGGCGTGCACAGGTCCCAGACACTGGAGAGAGGATTCTGCACATCTGTGCTCCCTTCTGCTGAGGTGCCTTGTGGCTCCATCCTGCGCACCTCCTATCCCTGCAGCCCACCTTTATTCCCTGGATGCCCAGTGCTTTCCCCTTTCTCCAAACCATGCTCCACTCCATGCCAGGGACATGTCACTGTCTAGTTTAAAGCCCATTTGGTAGCTTCCACTTTGTCCACCAAATCAGGCTTAATCACCAACCCCTCGGCCAGCTGCACCATCACATGGACACGGTATGGTCACTCCTGGCCCCATTAAGATATCATTCTGCAGTGCCCTTCCTCTTCTGTGTGGAACAGCCTCTGCTCATCCTCTAAAACCTCTTCAACCAAAAATAAAAGCAGAAACAACACTTGACAGACTAGGCAATTTCATAAGAGAAATTAGAATGGTCTGTGAATGTTCATGAAGCTTCATGCAAATTTACTAGTATCAAGTATATCTAAGCAATGCTGAATTTCTGCCTGCCAAATTGAAAAGAATGTAAAATATAAAATAATAATAATGATGATGATGATGATGCCAGGGCTGGCAAGAGTGGGTAAACAGGCACACACAATTGGCAGGACAATGATGTGGGGCCTCCCTGGATGTGTGTTTGGTGAGAAGTACCAAAAATCTCTACAAAGACACTTTCTACTTCCACTGCTGATCTCCTCTGAAGGAGACTTCATCCTAAGAAAATACTCATGGATGGGTGCAGAATTTTGTGATAAAAATATTAATCACAGAATTTCATATAATAAAAATTAGGAGCAGCCTAAATTTCCAGTATTTACATAGTACACAGTCATTAAAACCAATTTGTAAAAGAAATTTTAATGATATGTAAAGGTGCCCATGTTATGTTTAAAGAAAAAAGCAGATTACTGAACTTATTATAGGACTCTATTAAAATGTATCTGTATTTCAGTTATACATAATAAACAGGCCCTAAAGATCATAACACAGTATAGTACCTATAGATTTAAATTTTGCTAAAAGGGTAGATCTTAGGGGTATGAGTGTGTTACTGAGAATTGAACCAAAGGAGCACTGAGCTATATCCCCAGCCCTTTAAAAATTTTATTTGGACACAGTATCTTGCCATGTTGCTCAGACTGACCTCAAACTTGCAATCCTTCTGCCTCAGCCTCCCAAGTAGCTGGGATTATAGGCATATCCAGGTTAATCACTGTGTGTGTGTGTGTGTGTGTGTGTGTGTGTGTGTGTGTGTGGTACTGGGGATTGAAGTCAGGGCTTTGCACAGTCTATGCTAGGTGTTCTTATACACTAATAATAAATAAAGAGGGTGAGAGTAACTTTTGGAGAGAATGAATATGTTTATGGCATAACTTGTGGTGACAGCTACACAGACATGTCTACATCTATCTGTGTGTACATATACATGCGCATGTATGGCAGGCATGTATTGTATGTATGGCAGGCAAGTATATAGATATATGTGTACCAAAGACTGGGCGGACAGCTGTTTATAATAACAGTGGTCATTTCTGGTTACTGCTTGTCCCATACCTTCATTGACCCTCATGTGTTTCTGCTGCCTCTGTCTGACCCTGACCTCAAGAACACAATGACGAGATGAATAGCATAGTCATCCTATCCAAGGAAAACTGGGCAAATATAAAGACGAATAAGGCAGCCAGATAGGAACAGCCTAGAAAGATGGCCATGCTGTATTCACAAATGAAGAAGAAAGCTACAAAACAGTGCCTAGTAAAATCCTCCTTTTATAAAACAAATAGAAACCCAGAGGGAGCCCTGTCACACATTCATTTACCTTCCACAAACACAGTGATACGTGCTCAGAAGACAAATTTATACCCTGCTGCAGAGCTGAAATTTAAACCCAGGCAAGTAGCTTCTAGAGCCATATTTTCCAATACTGCAGCCACTACCCACATGCAGCTATTTAGATTTAAATGAATTGAAATTAAATAAGTGCTTCACAGCACATTGTGAAGCACAATAAGTGCTTCATTGCACCTCCTGGGTGGGACAGCATAGTCACAGAACATTCTTGTTGTGTCAGGAGGCTGCCCTGTCTACTGGACACTCAAGGTCCCCAGGGTCACCTGAAGAGCTGTCACTGCCTAGGTGGACCAAGGGTTCTCTGCAGCTTTATGGAGTGGTGAGGATTCTGTGGACCCACTGAGCTTCCAGGGCCTGGTGAGCTCTGGCTCTGGGTCGTGGATCCCCAAATCCAGGGATGACACATCACTGCTCCCAGCCCCCTGCTGTGTTCCCTAGGCACAGTCTCCTCAGGGCCACTCTGCTTGCAGTTGTGCTGTGGTCCTGCAGCCTGACCACAGAACACTGCACCCCATCCCTTCATCCCTTCATGAGGAATTGGCCCATCTCCCAGGGAAAAAGAGGACAGGCCTCACGGCAGAGTTACCTATCCTGCCCTTCGGCAGCCACACCCTCCTCCAAGCAGGGTCAGGGAGGGCACCTCCTACCTCTCTCATCCTTTCCCTCCAATGCCTACCCCTGCCCATGAGCCCACACTCACAGGGTCCGCAAGCCGTCCAGACCCCGGAACATGCCACTCCGGATGGACTCCAGCTGGTTTGCAGTCAGGTGCAGCTCACTCACAGAGGCCGCTCCCTCAAACGTGCCATCTTCGATTTCTGACACCTTGTTGTTGCTCAGGTTGCTGGGAGAGGAGGCATGGGAAGGGTTTCAAATGCCCTGCCCCTAGGAGCCCCTCCCTTCCTGCACCCAACACCCGCATGCCCAGGAGCTCTATCCCCACCCCAGGGAGAGCACCCCACCCCAGGCTTTCCCCTGTTCCTCCCAAGCCAGCATCTTGAGGGACACCTTCCTGCTGACAGATAACTCACATTTTCTTCAGATGTGTAAGTTTTTTAAACATCCCAGTGGCCTCCAGGAGGGAGATTTCATTGTTGTTCAATCGTCTGTAAAAAAGGCAATGAAGAAAACATAAACATCAATAAATGATGGACATTAAAGTACCTTTTGAATTGAGACTATTTTAGATGCAAACAGAAGGGACTCCCAGGAGAATTTATCTGGCAAGGCCAACTGATTCTATTTCAAAGGAAGCCTGGGCCTGGGGCTAGGGGAAAGGTGAATGAAAATATTATGAAAATTTATGTGCATAAATGTCCCATGTATGCAGGTGTCTATGCATGTGGCTATGTATATGCTTGAGTTCATATTCACAGATTAAAAATTAATAGCTAGAGCATGGCTGAAGTCCTAATATAAGCTCATGATATTGTGTCCCTCCAAAGAAGACAAAAGCATCACTGAGGAAAGCTACCCCTTGTTCAGGCTGGTGATCCAGCCTGGGTACCAAAGACTGTTTGAGGGAGATCTGGTTGGTGCCTTCTGTGGTTCCTCAAACAGAGCTGGGCCAGAGGAAAGCCTGGAGCCAGCATGGGAGGATTAGAGGGTGCTGGGAGTTGGGCAGGGTGCAGAGAGGTGGGGTCCTCACAGCTCTGCTGTGGACTGTGGGATGCGCTCAGGGATCTTGGAGAGCCTCAGGCTGGAGCACTCCACCACACTGGCCTCACAGCGGCACTTGTGAGGACAGGCAACATCGATGCTGCACTCGCTGTTCAGCTGGTAATCCTCTGTGCCTGTGGGTGAGAGGGTGGACCAGGGCAGGCTCTGAGCAGCTGTGGCCAAACCAGGATGACCCAAGCCCTCCAGCCTGCCCACCCACTGCTACTGTCCCTCCACTTCCTACCTGGAATGAAGTACTGCTCTTTGGCTGGGGAGAAAAGCAGACACATCAGGATGCAGGAGCAGCTGGGCTTGGCCCCACAGCCTACCGCAGGCACCCCAGGAATGCAGTTGGGACCTAGGACCCCCAAGCCCATCTGCCAAGTCCCTGTGTGCAAAAGACCTTACTCCAGAGAACTTGTGTCCCCTGTCCAGGCCAACCCAAGGCAGCACCGCACCCAATCAAACCTCTCACTGCAAAGGTATGGGCAGGGACTGTGCTGACCTCACCCATGGGGGTGGAGTAGGGGCAGTGTCAGCCCCCTGAACCAGGATCCAGGGTCAGAAGCTGCCCCACATTGTCCTTGGCAAGATGCCAAGTGGACTGCAGTTGCTGAGGGCACTTTTGTGTCCCAAAGCCACAAGAAGGCTCCTACCTCACTGCCAAAGGTCCCAGGCCTCCTGGGTATCTTACAAGGCTTGAGAGCAGCAGCACATGCATGAGAGAGCTGGCCTGTGAGTGGACATTGGGTGCCTCACCCCGGGCCCCCAGGAAGCCCCACCTCTGCTGAACAGTTCAGACCCAAGTCTAGAGTGTGGGGCCTCCAGCGGGAGACCAAAGTGCCTGAGGACACCTTGCTGGAGCCCTCCAGGACACATCACTGGGTTGCTGAGCTGACAGAAGACAGACAGACAGGCGGGCAGCTACCTGAGCACCGGAACTTCTTGCTCTTGATCTGCCCAATGCGCTTGTTGGTGAGGCGCCGGGGGCTGGCACAGCGGGCCCCACTTGTCTCTATGGGATTAGTGCGCAGGAAGTCCGCCAGCCACTTGAGGTTACAATCACAGATGAAAGGGTTCTGGGCCAGATGCCTGTCAAAGGGTGCAGATCAGCCATCAAAGACCAAGGCTGCACCCAGCATGGGCCTCCTCCAGGTCAGGGCCTTGCTGTCTGGGGGGCCCAGGTGGCTGCTCTTGGCTTGAAGCTCACAGCTGGTCATGAGAGAAATGGAGGGTGGAGTGACTGCCACAGTGCACTCACCACCTACAGGGAAGTCCTATCAGTTCATCATGGCAGAAAGGGACTCTGAAGCTGGAGCTGTTTCCAGGAAAGCCAGAGCTTCCCTCTGTGCCTGCCATGCTCCCCTTGAGCCCCATGCCACCCTCTCTCAACCCTCCTATCTCCCTTTCTTCCTGGGACACTTCACAAGTATGCATGGCCAGAGGGGACCTAGAGACTGGACAGAGCCTCCCAGTTCCTTCACAGAACACAGGAGCACCCAGCACCATATCAGGCCACAGCCTTTGGACCACTACACAGCCACAGGCCCAGCTTCTCTCTCTGCTGCTGCAGCCCATCTCCCATGGCCATCACCCTGGAGGAGAATGTGGCTGGGGAGCCTTGGGCTACAACTAGAATCACCTTTCCAAAGTCAGGCCAGGAGCTGCTTCTTCTTGACCAATTTACAAGCCATTTCTCCATGCAAAGAAAACTCAGAAAACACTATCAAATGGCTGCTTTCTGGGAAATCACCTGGCCTCCTGTGCTGTGCTGCCTGTTTAGCAGTGGGCGGATGCAGTGAGGGCGATGGGGAACAGGTGACAGGCTGCCGTGGCTTTCCCATCTACGGGCTCTGCCTGCCCATTAGGCCCAAACCAGCCACATCGGGACCATGCTGTCTGCAAGCCTGCCCAACCATGTCTGGGCCCCCACCACACATAAATCTGTTAGCGATCATCACAGAAGGACAGAGGACAATCAAACTCCCAGGCCCTTAATCTTATTCATTAAAAGCATAACTTGTGTTTTCTTCTGAGGCAGTTAGGGATTTAAAACTACTCTTGCTAAAAAACAAGACAAAACAAAACAAAACAAAAAAATGAGTCCTCACTTGAGCCTACAGATGCCCAGTGGGTAACTAAAGCTAAATGCTTAACATCTCTGCCTTCATTCTGTATCTGTTCTTTTATTGCCTTAAAACTGGCTCAGACCTTTGCTCAGCTCTGAGTAGAGGCAAATTAATCACTTAAGGAGTGTCTAACAACTGGCAGTATAAGCCTTACTAGCCCTAAATTGACCCCACCACTCGTCCCCCTTCAAGACTGAGGACACCAAGAGCTTTGCAGGGACATTCAACTGCCAGCTTTTAAAGTATCCTGCTCCAGAGCCCCTGGTCTCTAGTTACTGTCTCTAGTTACTGTCCCAAACCTGCAGTCACCTTGGATTCCAGCAGAGCCTTCAGAGCTGAGGCTGCTCCCCACCAAGGAGGTGCAATCATCTCACGGGATCAGGACTGCTCCTGAAGCCACAGGACTTCTCAGGAGCCTCCAACTGAGAAGTGAGGTGATGATCAGCCAGCCCTGGCCCTGCTCAGCAACCCCATAAGTCTCATCCTTTCCTACGCTAACAGGCCAGCCTGGTCTTCTTCGTCAGAGCTGTGCCTCCTTCAGCTTTCTTCTCCTCAAGCTGAAGACTCCCATTTTCTCTTACTTTGCAATTAAAGCTTTTCCCTGTAAATTCATGCTATTCCCCCAGTTTTAATTTCCATTATCACTGAAGCAAGATCTCACACTAGCCAGATGATACTACTTCATACCAACTGGGATAGTTACAATCAAAAGAGAATTTTTTTTTAAAAAAGCAAACAATAAAAAGGTTGTTGAGATCTTGGACATCTCATGATACACTGCTAGTGGGAGTGTTAAATGCTACAGCTACCTTGGGAACCACTGGGAGTTTCCTTAACAAAATAAATTTACTCTATGACCCAGCAGCTCCAAAACAAATGCAATCATTGGTCCACACAAAGATATGTAAGTGAATATTGATAGCAGCATCCTTCATAATGGTTCCAAAGTGGAAACAATCCAAATGTCCATCAACTGGAATGGATAAACAAAATGTGCTCTACCTGACATGTAGAAAATTATTTGGCAATAAAAAGATCAAAGGGCTGATACATGATACAGTATGGATGAACCTCAAAAATGTGCTAAGTGAAAAAAACCAGTCACAAAAGATGTCAGATTGTATGATTCCACTTTATGAAATGGCCAAAAGGACAATCTACAGAACAGAAACTGTTAGTGGTTGCATGGAGTGAGGGATGGAAATGGGGACTGACAGAAAATAGGCACAAAGGATTTGGAAGAGGAGCAATACAAATGTCCTAAAATTGAATTGTGATAATAAATGAACAACTCTGTAATAACTGAACAACTTTCTGTTCTATAGGTTGTCTAAAAGTCATTGACTTGTATATTTATAACAGGTGAACTTTATGTGTGTAAGTTAAACTTTAATAGAATTGGTTTTGTTTTTGTTTTCTTATCAAGGCAGAGTCTTGCTATGTTGCCCAGGCTGAATTTCAACTCTTGGACTCAACCATTCCACCAGTCTCAGCCTCTGGAGTAGCTCGGACTATATAAAGCTTTTTTTTTTTTTCCTGTTGTCAGGTTTGACCCAAGCCCTGGCATATCTCACGGAGTTACATCACCAACCCTTTTTAAATATTTTATTTTGAGACAGGGTCTCACTAAATTGCCCAGGGTGGCCTTGAATCTTTGTACCTCCTGTCTCATGCCCCCAGAGTGGTAGGATCATAAATGTGTGCTACCACGCCCAGCGAGTTGTTCTGTTTGTTTCTAAGTGTTAAATGCAAGTGAAATTGCAGCAAAATCAATCTATGACACAGAGCACTTGGTTATAAACCTTGGAGGTATGGAAAAGTGACACAAGATTTAGTAAAATTAACTGCTCAGATATGACACAAGACTCAGTCAAGCTTAACCACGTCAAGGATATCTAAGCGTATCGTGGATTTGCACTTCTTTTATTCCTGTCCCAAATTGTACCTTAGTTGTTAATATACAACATGTGCTTATGAAAGTCCAGCTTTGCTTTATAGTCTTAAATAATAAGGTCTATTCATAAAGAAGCAGCATGATTGAGGGAAAGTGCACTGACTTTTCAGTGACGGCTGAAGAGCTGCCGGAGGTCAAAGCCCTGTTCTAGGAGCTATCCTATGACTTTGGTGAGTTACACAACTTCCCTCTACCTCGGTTTCCTTACAAGTAAAATCGAGGATGACGGGCTTCATCTCATTCAGTCATTTTAAGTGTTGAGCAAGATAATGCATCAAGAACAGTGGCTCCCAAGAGTCCTTAATCCCACTCTCATCCCCAAGGCCCTCTCTGTACATCCCCAGCCCTCCAATCTCCTTAGTGAGCTTCTCTCAGACTTTCTTCAAACTGCTTAAAATAATTCACCTTGCCAATGTCTCTCCATAACCTCGAATTTCTCATATGCAGTATAGTTTCCCCATGGGGCTCCATCTTCTCTCCCTGACTATGAGTAAATTAATTAGCAGGAGTCAGGCTACAGGCGAATGTGTGGGCTTTAATGAGTTTGTCTCTGTGGCTGACATCCGATGATGTGCAGACCCCTAGGGAGCAGGCGCTGTACCTTTTAGGCAACCTGTTGGAACCTATTCCCACACCCCGTGTGGATGTTATCTGATGGTGAGCACTACCTGCAGAGATAACAATGACAACAAAGCCTACAGTGATATTAACAGTGGATACTCATTATGCACACACCACATGACCCACGCCAGTCAGGCCAGGCTCAGGACCAAAAGTATAGGAGGAAATCTCCTACGTGCCTAGCTTACTTGCACACCGCAGGTATGCAAGTTTTCCTCTGTGGAAGCATTCCAGATAAAACATAAGGACTCTGTTTAAAGGCTAGCCACAACAGCATTATCAAATGAAGTCAGGGTAGCCAGGAATTTAGCTCAGTGGCACCATACCTGCCTCACAAACGCAAGGTCCTGAGTTCCATCCCCAGTACCAAAAAAAAAAAAATGAAGGCGGGGTAGAATTTTAATATCACCATTTCAGAATCCTAGTGAATTTATCGGCATAGAGATCAATGGCTATTTCTTTCTTTCTTTTTCTTTTTCTTTTTTCTTTTTGTACTGGGGATCAAACTCAGGACCTTGCATTTTCAAGGCAGACACCAGCACCATTGAGCTAAATCCCCAGCCCAATGGCTATTTTTATTACAAAAAAAAAAAAAGATAACCAGAAATCACATGCTTCCAGGTAGAAGTCTACAATTCTATCCAGGAAGTTCTCTTGCCAGTCAATTAATCATCAATCAACCAAACTAAACCTGACAAGCTCCTAGATACAATTCTTCATCTGGTAGGACACAGACAGGTCAGAGAAACATGTGATATCCCACTGGGACACCATCAGCCAAGTCCAGACTTTGGGCAACCTGATATGGCCAACCAATGATATGGTGTCTTCAACAAATAAGTTGCAAAGAAAACAGGGGATGGAAAGGACACCTAGAGATGAAAAATGACCTCAGGGGTGCATCAACCAGTATCAGCCAATTGTATTGTAAAGATCTTATTTAAATCCCAATTCTAATAAAAAATGGTCTTACATATATGAGACACTTGTAAGTTCAAATACTATATCAATATTTTATGAGATCAAGGAATTAAGTTTTTAGGTATAAAAATTGTGCTGTGGTGTTTTGTGGTTTTTTTTTTTTTTTTTTTGATACTGGGGATTGAACTTGGGTCCTTGTGCTTGTGAGGCAGGCAGTGGAACCACTGAGCTAAATCCCCAGCTCTGTGGAGTTTTGTTATTGTTTTGCAGTGCTGGGGATGGAACCTAGGGCATCATGCATGTTAAGAAAGCACCCCTAATAAATAAAAACAAAAGAAAGTGCCCTACCATGGAGCTAAACACCTAGCGCCTGGTATGTTTATACAGAATCTTTGTCTTTTAGAGATATAGATGAAGTCTGTATAATGACATATGATGTCTGGGATTTGCTTCATGGTTTAGGTGGCTGGAAAGAGAGGGAAGTAGAGATGAAACAAGACTGGCCAGGAGTTAAAGGTGGGGAAATAGTTGGGGGGTTCACTGTAATACTTTTACTATGCTTTCAATTTTCTACAATAAATTATTACAACAAACTAGTAGGTTTGTTGCTCTCTAATTTTTAGTTCATAATCATCATTGTTTTTACTACATTCCATTTGATTTCACAATACCAACTGCAAGATGCACTATTATTTATATGGACTATGAAGAAAGGCAAAATTCTGCCAATTAAATGATATACCTCCATTATAATATGCATTCCATATTCAAAACTGTTAATGTGGAAACATATATCTTAGAATCAATGGGCTATATTATTATCTTTATCACTATTTAACTGTAGCCACCATTTAGCAAGCATTTACAATTAGCTAAACTATGCAGAAATATCCACTTTAACTTCACAACAACTCTATGAAGATCTCCTCATTTATGGATAATAAGAGGGAGGCCCAGAGAAGCTAATTAACTTGGCTAAGGTCAACCAATAAAAAACATAGCTGGATTTGTATCCAGGATTGTCTAACCCAGAGTCTGTCCTTTGCCTGTAGAAGGCCACCCGCAGGAAGCACAGCTGTCTGAATCTGCAAGCCACCCGTAGGCCCACCTGCTGGGACCTTCCTGCTGTGGGGCCAGGATGTAGGGGCAGGACTCACAGTGTTTGGATGGCCCTCAGGGATGTGAAGGTGCCCTTGGCAAGACTCTGGATCTTGTTGTCATACAGGGAGAGTAGTGAGAGGTTCTGTAAGTCCTGGAAGGCATCAGGCCTGATGCAGTTGATCTTGTTGGCATTCAGGAGCCTGGGGGCAAAGCCAGCGGTCAAGAGCTGAGAGACAGGCTCTGAACAGGCTCCTGACATAGGGGCTTCAAAGTCTGGCTACTCTTCTCCCTTTCAAGAGACCACTACAGATGCCTTGAGAGGTTCCAAGGGAGCACAGGGTCAAAGCCACCTCCCAAAGGCACTTCGGAGGGGGACCTCCTCCTCCCAGAGTCCTGCTGGGTCTCCAAGTGGCTGGACAGAAGTACTTGCATCCAGGGTCTCGTGGTCCTGGAAGAGAATCCTGGCCTTAATGCTCATGGTTCCAGAAGGCTGAGCTGGCCTGGTGTCCCCTCCAGGAGACATTCCTGTCTCCAACCATGCTGAGGGCCTCAGAAAAGCAGGCACTGTCTCAGGAGCCTCTGAGCTCTAGTATCCTGTGACCAGCTCTGAACCAGCCTCTGCCTCCCTCTCTCACTTCTACAAATCCTGTCTTCCAAGTGCCTGTCTCAAATGTATCCAGGTCCCAAACAGGCTGTAAAGAACAGCCTGGGAGGCCAGAGGAATGCAAGCCTCTCCCTGGCCCCACCCAAAGACATCCTAGGACTGGTCCTTACAGAAGCTGTAGAGTGTACAGGCCTCCAAACACACCGCGAGGGAGGTCTGTGATCTTGTTCCCATAGAGGACCCTGGAGAAAAGGCAGCAAAAGAGGAGAGTTAGGGGCCAGCAGAGCTCTGCAGATGCCCACAGAGCACCATCTTTAAACCTTCACACACTTAGCATGCATGTGTTCTGCAGGAACTCGCCAGCAGATGGCGCAACAGCATCTTCAGAGAGGGTGTTCGACCTCCCACCACCCCAGTTTGCGCAAAAGTACCCTCGGTGCCTGTTACCCCCATTGCTGCAAGAGGAGCTCCACTCCCTGCTGGCACACATGGACCCCACAGAAATGTGCAAAGGGGCCCTTCCAGAGAACCTCACAAGAAATTAATCTGGCCCAGGACCCAAAAGGAAACTGTTGGCCGAGCAGAACTAATTTCAGAGAATTATGTATTTTCAGAGAGTTACAGAGAAAACAAATAGAATTACAGACGGCATGTTCAATATGAAATCTAGGTGGCTAGACTGCAAGTGGGTTTCTTTTTTAACTTTTGTATTCACAAAGTTTTCTATACTGAGCATGAATGAATTCCATGTATAATCAGAAAAAAAAAAAAGTAAAAGTTTAAAAAACACAAGCAAGAATGGGTTCGGGCAGATGGTGCCAACACTGAGGGGGTTTGGAGAGGGGAAGATTACTTCCACTGTCATAGTCACCTCCCACAAGCCACCATTATAAATATTTAGTCTGAGTAAAAAAACATTTCTTCAAACATAGCCGGAGGAAGACACAGCAGGAGCAAAGCCCTGTGGTGGGACCCAGGATGGCCCATGTAGAGAGCTTAAAGCCATTGTGGCTTAAGGAGGAATGAATGGCACAGTAGCTTGTATTTTACCCAGCCAGCCTCAGGAACTCTGAGACATGATCAGATTCCTATTTCAGAAATATTCTTTGAGCTTCTGTGTGGAAAATGGTGTGGAAGGTCAGGAGTTGAAGCAGGGGTCAAGGTCAGGGCTGGTCACAAACAATCAGGAAATGGCTGGGCTGGGCACAACAGTGACCCATCTAAATGGGTTATTTCACCTTTTATACCAGTTCCGACTGGTACAGTCAATGTAAGAGAATTTTACTCATTTCTCAGAGGAAGAGCCCTACTTTTTGGCAGGCCACCTCCAGGATCTGATTTTCTTGGTCAGTGACAGTGACTCATCATCAGGCTGTTAGGCAGAGCTGTGCCAGTTGTATACTCTAAAACTCCAGGGCACTGTTCAGGATTGGCCCCTCCTACCACCTCGGACTGTACTTTGTACTTGGAGAGAAGAACACATGCACAAAAGGCAGTGAGTGGACAGTCTCCATACTCTCCCAGGAGAACAGTTACCTTCTGTTCCAGTTACCAGGCCTCTGGTCTATGCCATCATGTATCCAGCGCTGCCAAAGGGCAAGTGGACACTTCCATAGGCAACAGCTCCTACCCATGGGAGCTTTTCCAGCTGCAGGGCACCCTAAGTGTACTCTCTGTAGAAAGTGCTATGGGACTTCAGAGGGTGAGGGGATTGCTGAGCCTGGGGGTTCATGTGTGTTTGTGGGAAAAGGTGGTGCTGCATGACATTTTGTGGATGGACAGACCCCACCCCATAGACCTAAAGGAAACAGGTGAAGGGAAGCACTGTTTTCGTGTCACCCACTACTTCTTGGGATCAAGTATATCTGAGATAAAAGATAGCAGTGTATGGCAGATGTCACCACTGGAGCCGGTGGTCATTGTCCCTATGGGTGACCAGGGAAGGCTCAGGAGTCTTCTGTGGAGAGGCGGGGCCAAGATGACTGCCTTAAAGAATGCTGGGAAAATCTCTACCATAGTAAAGAGAGCATCTCAGTTGCCAGGACAACAGTCATGCCTAGCTTTTCCAAGTACTCAGCCCTCGATCCTCTCCTCCCACTGGGGCTACACAGGGTCTACCCTCCTTATAAGGAAGGGCGAGCTGGCCACAGCAGCCTTGAACTTTGCAGCCAGAGGGAGTGTCGCTGAGGCTGGAGTAGCAGGACTGCACAGACGTACATGTGGCCCTGCTCCTCCTCCACACTCAGTGGAGGGGCCCTGGGCCCACCGGCTTTGCTCAGGGTTCCCCAGGCCACCCCAAGGGGCCTTACTGCTGTGACTCACAGTGAATTCAAGGAGCGGAGGCCCTGGAAGGCATCAGGCGCGATCTCGGCGATCTGATTGTTGCTCAGGTCTCTGCAAGGTGCACAGAGGAGAACACAGCTGAATCCCTGCTGGGCTGTGCAATCTGAGGTCTGCATGTGGAAGTGAGTGACACCCTGGCTGTGCCCTACAGTCCCCTTACATCCTTGCTTGCTCTTACTGGTGCGCACACTGAAAGGGAAAGGTAGCCAGCAGCACTTGGGCTTTGTGTCCCTTCAGGGCTCACTATGACCCTGGGAGACAGTAGCATCTTTGCTGTGCCTGTGGTTCAGACACAGGATCTCCCTCCTGCCCTGTGCCAACTGGGGGTGCACTCACATCCTGCGCAGCTTTCTGTAGGGAGAGAAGGCTCCTGGAGGGATGGACTTGATTCCATTGAGCTCCAAGCGGCTGCAGAGAAGAACACATGGGAAACAGGTCCCAAGTCACTCTGGCCAGGCTGTGGTCTGCTAGACTCACCCACCCAAACAAGCCCTTGATTCCTTGGGTCCCTGCTCCCTTCCCCCTTCTAGAGGCTGTAGTCTGGGCAAGTGGGTGAGCACCTGCTGTGATGTGAGGCTTATCCCAGGGTTCCATGGCTGAAAGGGGCCCACAATGATGGTCAATGACCCACTAAAGGTCACTGTGGCAGACCCACCTGGCTGGGCTGGGCCACAGGGGGACATGCTTCCCACCCCTCCAGAGTTTCCCAGTCTGGAGCAGAGAGCTCAGCCTGCTGAGGCAAATTGTCTCTTCCATTTGCCACTGAGCAGTCTGGGGGCAAGTCCCTGGGGTGACACCTACTCCAGCTCTTTACTGGACAGCCAGAGCCTGCCCTTGCTGGGGTGTCCCAGCACCTTCTCTGCCCTGTACTCACATCTCTGTCATGGTCTCAGGCAGGTTGGCAGGGATGGCGGTAAGGCCTTTGCCGCGGCAATCCACAATGCCATTGCTGCAGGCGCACATGGCCGGGCAGGAACCCAAGGAAAGGGTGCAGGCAGGCACGTGCCCTGCCTCGCCCTGGCCTGAGGGGATAGCAGAGTGTGACTTCAGAGTGTCCTGTATCAGCACTACCCTCCCCAGGTCCATACTGATGGGTGGGGACAGGTGCACGGGGGCAGTTTCTGTGGATGAGGACAAACCAGAGGAAGTCACCACGGATGCAGAAGAGATTCTGAACTTTGATGCAATGCTGGGCTCCTGGGACACAGCAGGCATTCATCATCAGACATTGCTGAGGTCAGTCTGAACTGCACTAGACTGTGATCTAAACACCAACAAATCCTGGCCTAGAATTCTGAAGCTTTAGGTTCAAATCCAAGTCAGGTCACAGGTGAGCAAAACTATGTCTACTCAATGCTTACTCTATGCTGTGTGATATGATAAGTGTGATACATGCAGAACCTCATTTAAATCCTCTCATGTGACCCTTCAAGGAGCATGTGATCATTGCCATTTCCCAGGTGAGGTCACTGAGTCCTAGATATTAATTTGTAGAAATCCACACAGCTAAATTAATAGATAGTAAAACCAGGATCAAGCCCAGTGTCTGATATTAACTCACACTTGTGATAACCAAGGTATACTTACTAACTTACATCAAGCGCACCATCCCGTGTGTATGGCCAGTGAAGCCATCACTCAGACATGGACTTTCTGCCACCACTCTTCTGAAGTCTATCACCAAAGATCTGTTCTGTTTACTGTGAACTTTACATAAATTAAATTATACAGGAGGTTCTCTTTTGTATCTGGCTTTTTACACCCAATGTAAAATCTTTGCAATTCATCATGTTGTTGAATGTATCAGTAGTTAATTTTTGTGTTGCTGCTGAGCAGTATTCCACTGTATGTCTATGTCATGATCCATGGGTGGTCTCCATCTTTGGAGATTGTGGAAAAAGTGGGCCTAAACATTCTTGGGTGTGTGTTTTGCAGAACAAATGCACTCACCTAGCAGTAGAGTTACAGGGTCAAAGGGCACAGATGTGCTGAGCTTCTGTGGATCCTGCTACACAGTTCTGCAAAGTGGCCAAGCCAATTCATCCTCCTCCCAGGCTTCTAACATCTGTACCTAACATCTAGTACTATGTCCCTTGAGTGCCCTTCTCAGGAAAGGGGCTGTCAGATGCACAGACTCCAGCGGAAGAAATAATGTCAGAATAAATCAATAAACATGGAAACCAAGGTAGTCTCAATGCAAAGAAAAAGGTTTCATTTAAAAAAAAAAAGGTGCCCAAGAAATCTGCTCCTTTCTTAGCCATGGCAGCTGCAGTAACTCAGAGGTGCAGAGGTACAAACCCTCTCACACAGCACATCCCTGCAGTGCACACTCACACACTCCCCTGTGCCCACATACACATGCACACATGCACACACATGCTCACACAGCAGCCCTGAGCACAGAGGTGTTCAAGCCTGGTTTCCAGCATCTGCCAGGGCTGGCTTTGCAGCTGACAGCCACACTCTAGAGCCCCACGCTGAGGCTCCCTGGAGTTCTTGGGGTGTGGGATGAAGGGGTGGCCAACAGGGAGCAGCCTGTGAGAAGGCAGGGTGGGAGGCACCACTCTGGGAAGGGGAAGACACAGGTGCAGCTGAGGTGCAGGGAGGAGGGATCCCGGGGCGGAGGAGGCTGACCCCCAGGGCCACGCAGAGTGAGGGCAGCTGGACTCTCCCAGGAGCCTGGAGGGCTGATGAGTACACGCAACAGGGACCACTAGGCTTGTGGGTTCCTTCAGGCCTTTCTGGCTGCAGTACAGAGACCAAAGGAGCCAGGGAGGAAGTGAGGGACCCGTCACAGAACCCCAGGTGGAAGAAGAAGGGGCAGGCTCTGGGGCCTCCTCACCTGAAACAGACTAGAAACTAAATTCAATGACCGGTCAGGTAGCAGGGGTGAGGTGATAGGAGGGAGGGAGAGGAGGGGAGAGGGGTAGGAGAACATGGAAGAGGCCTTGGGAAGAAGCAGAACCAGTAAAGGCTGGGACAGAAGGGATGATGAGTGGAGGAGGCCACGTGGGGACAGGCAGGGGGAAGGAGAGGAGGCAAGGAACGTGTAGGCAAAAACCAGTGGTGAGACTAGGAGGCAACGGCTGGGAACAGGAGGTGATGGGTGGGAACAGAAGACAGGCGGGGAAGGTGGGGACAGGAAGTAATAGGCAAGGAGGGGAGAAGACGGGGGTCAGGTGTGGATGTGTGGTTACAGGTGGTAATGGAAGCGACGAGGGGAGGGGAAAGCAATGCATGAGGGCAGGAGGTAACGGGCAGTTCTGGGCCCTGGTAGGGCCTGCATGTACCTGAGCAGCTGAACTCACTCTTCTGGACCTCAGCCACATTGAGGCCACGCAGGCTGGCGGGGCCTGAGCACTGGGTGAAGAGCCCGATTGTCGGCCGCTGCCTCAGCCACTGAGACAGCCAGGCCAGGTGGCAGTCGCAGAACAGGTGGTTGGAGTGCAGGCGGCTGTAGAAGGACAGAGTAGCTTACAATGGGAATCCTACCAGGAGGAGGCTGTGCCCAGACCTGCGTTCAGCCCACAGATATCTCATCCTGAGAAACTGCCTGGCCCTGTCCCCTCTCTGCCTCCCTGGGGGACACGTTGGCTACAGGGTGCCAGGGATCTTCTGTTCATCCCATAGAGCTCACATGGATCCACTGTCAGGTTCACTCAGCTCATTTTTAAATACAAAAAGGAAAACCAAACATAAATGACACTCGTGCCCTGTAATTTCAGATCCCTTCCTCCCTCTCTACTTCTACCGAGCTGAGCCCTGGGCTGGCCTTTGAGGCGTAGGAGAGAACAGCCCCTTCCCTGTGGCGGACTCTGCCTCCTTCCCCACCATCCTGGACAACGATCCCACTTGAGCTTCAGCACCCAGCTGCCCCGCTGACTCACAAGGTCCGAAGCTTGGGCATGTGATTGAAGCTGGACACAGGAATCATGGTGATGTTGTTGTTGTTCAGGGTCCTGAAAGGGAGCGCTAGTTATTTAGCATCTGGCCAGCAGGACGGTCCATAGGACAGGGCTCAATGTTAAGGAATGAACAGGGAGGATCCCATGCCAGGTTCTGAGGGCCACCTTCAAAGAGGACCAGCCCCAGGCAGCACGGGGGGCTGCACTGAAGAGCCCAGACACAGACCCCCAATAGGAAAGACCTGAGCCAGGACAATGACTGTAAGCCAGCCACAGACTCCAAGTCTGGAAGGACAGGGGAGAGGCTCTGGCGCTCCTGCATCTGGCTGGGCCACTTGGAACAAAGGGTGGGAGAAAGAGGAGCCTTCCAACCTCCCTTGTCAGGGCTCCAGCCAGGGCATCATCCTGAGCGGATAAAGCCCGCGGCCACGAAGCTGCAGGCACAAGCCCAGGAACTGGGGTCCTCCCATCCTTGGGCGATTCCAGGAGAGGGGTCTCCTGCCTCCCAAGCCCCATCTCTAGCTCAGCTGGCCCAGCTCCCCACAGCCCTCTTCTCCCTGGGTTTTACTTACAGCACCTCTAGCCCACGCAGGGCTCGGAAAGCCCCTTCCTCGATGCAGCTAATCTGGTTCTTGTCCAGCTGTCTGTGAAGCAAAGGAGGGTTGAAGAGAAGGGGTGCACTGCCTAGGGCGGAGGTATCCAAATATTTAGACCAAGCACTCCATTATTAAAAATAAAAAGGGGCCCAGTCCCAATCATTTGTTATGTACACATGTGATAATCCAAATAATAACTGTTAATAAAAGCTGAATGTCTTCTTCTTTTCCATTAAAACAGTAAGTAGGAATAAAAGTCACATTATTAGGCCCAACCCTGCATACCCTCCGGGAGCAGGCATTCTCCTTTACATTTTGGAAACCACCCAGAGGGTGCTGGCAGCTGAAAAATGGGACAGAATAACTCAGGAGCAGCAGCAACCAGAGCCAGCACACAGATTCCCTTCTGAGTGCCAAGTGAGACTGACTAGCAGCGGCTACCTGGCGTGCTGCTTTCAGAGTGAGCGGAAGCTGTGCCTTGAGCTCTGTGGGAAAGAATGTCACGATCCATTACCAATGCCTGCCCAGACATGGGAGGGGTATGTGACAAGCCTGTCCAGCATTTGCCACCCCTGTGTAGTCAGAACTCAGGGAGGTATTAAGCCTGGACCAGAATAAATCTGAATAATAATATAAATCATTACATTTGAATAGCACAAGATAAAGTGTATGCATTCCCATACCTCCTTTAAAACTCAGAACAAGCCTGTGACACTGATATTATTTTCCCCCAGCTTATGTGACTGTGATTGGAGGGAAAGACACAAACCCAGCTCTCTTGATCCAAAAATGAGGAGGGCACTGGAGGCTGAGAACAAGGCCTTGCACCCCATGGCTATGACCCTCCTCAACCCGGTCCCAGGGTCCCTGTGAGGCCCTGCTTGGTTCTCACACAGCATCATACCCGAGGGAAGGGCAGGTACCCCATTCCCTCCATGCCCAGATTGTTCCAGAAGACCATGCTGGCAGGGACCATCTCAGAGCCAGGCCAGCTCCTTGGTGGCCTAGACCACACAGCGCAGGGAGACCCATGGGAGTCAGGAGACCCTCAGGTAGCCCTGAGACCACACCCTTCTCCTTCCCAGGACTGCACTCACAGGTTTTTGAGGTCTGTGGCTCCTCGAAAAGCCTTCCTGGGAATAGCCTGCAGGGCGTTCTCGCTCAGGTCCCTGGGAAGAAGACACTGCTCAGGAAAAGGCCGCCTCCACAGTGCCACAATGAGCCAGGGAGACCAGGGGCCAGATGCACACAGGTGGTCACTGTCACGTCCCAGTGCCCGGGACAGGGCCTGGCACACAGTGGCCATTCAAGAAAGCATCTGGTGAATGAAGGAGTAGATGAATGAATGAATGATGGAGCTGGAAAAGCTCAGCAGCTGTGACAATTCTGCCAGGCTCACGAATGTTGGCTTGGCTGCAACACAGGCCAACACCACAGCGCAGGCCCTCAAAGCTGTCCAGGAGGCAGAGCAATGCCCTGCTGGCTCAAACTCTGCATTTTACCAGTGAGGAAGCTGTGGCTCCCCTCAGCTGGAGAAGGAGACAGACTGGCTCCCAGCAAGCCAGCCAGTGGGCAGCCAAGCCAGGTCTTCAGCTCCAAAGGCCCTGCTCCTGGGGCCTGCTGGTAGTGCCAGCATGAGACCCGGGGCTCTGTTAGGGACTGGAACCTGGTTGAGGGTGGGCAGCTTCAGGTTCCCACACCCACTTCCCACTGCCAGGGGAGGCTTCTGCTCCATGGGTGGGGCAGCCACAGAGGGCAGGGCTCTCTGAGGACTCTTCCTGTATTCATACTGATGTGAGGGAGGAGGCACTGCAGGGACTTCTTTAAGCGTGTCCCCCCCCACCCCAGCCAGCTTCTGGAAGCACAGCCTCTGGCACATGCCCTCCACCTCTCCTTCCCTCTCTTTCCCTCTCCCCACAGCCTCACCGGCTTCCACAGACATTTACAAATGCTCTTCCTTCTCACAAGTGTGTCTGAGCACATCCCCAGGTTGGTGGTCCTGGCCCAGGACTTAATGTGAGTAACCTCATGGACCTTCCCACTGCTGTGAGCAAATACTGTGGCGCTTTCCATTTTACACAGGAGGCAAGGGAGATTTGGAAAATTGAAGCAACTTCTACAAGGTAACCCAGCTGCAAGGAGTGGCTCAGAACTTGAACGCAGGCATTCAGACCCCAGAGCCCTGGGAGTGGGGACTGTTGTCTTGCCCATTTCGCAGAGGGGCAACTGAGCCCCAAGACGTGAAGTTACCTGACCTGTGTCAGACACACTCTCTGGGTCCTTGAGGTGGACAACCAGAGGCTGGCTGTCCTGAGGGGGGACCCAATGCTGAGCAGTCCTGCTGGCCCCAACTCCTTCCCCTGGGACAGGTCCTGGGGTTTAAGCGGGTTCTCCTTTTTAGCCACTCCTACCAGGACAGGAACAGGGCCCATAGTGCCCATGGGCTGCTCACACTGCCATCTCCATCTGAGACAAGAAGCCAGAAGGCCTGGCCATACATGCCGGGGCCTGGGCCAGTAGGTGGGCTTCGAGTCTAGCCTACCCACCTCCTGGTTGCACCTCTGCAGAGCAGCTTCCCCTCCTAGCCTCAGTTTCCTCAGGTATAAATAGGGAACATAAGAGCTGTCCCAGTGATGGTCCCCCAACCCCACACATAGCAGGAAGCCATCATCTGTGTGCTCCTCCCCGAGACCTCCTTGGTGATCCCCTCCCCTGACCCAGCTGGCAGCCTTCAGAAAATGGCCCAGGCACAGGGTCTGTAGGGGCTCTACCACCAGTGTCCCGTTCCTGTCCTCTCTGCTCCAAAACTGTGCCACCTGCCCTTCCATAACTGGCCTGGGTAACCTTCCTGGAGGCATTCCTCCTGCTGGTCCATCCTCTCCATATCCTGGCACTACAGCCCCTTCTCCACCCTCTTCGTCGGCTATCGCTCTTGACTATTTGTGCCATGTCCCTGGCTTTCTTGTTTACTCTGTCATCACTCTCTCCACCTCACCCACCAAGGCTGCTCCCAGCCTGACCCCAGTGCCCTCCCCATCACCTGCTCAGCCGTCTGTTCTCAGTAATCCCACCAGCCCTGCATATCTGCCCGACAGCATTTCCACCTTTAATCACCCTCCTCTATCCCTTTACCTAGAAAGAGCTCCTGGATTGCTGCTATACTGTCCCCTCCCCAATAACTGCTATGAGGCCACAAAGGTAAGCAAGAGATTGCCTGTATTCAGGGCCTATGGCCACAAGAGCTCCCCAGTAACTAGGGGCCAAGGTAGACATGGGAGCTCTCCATGGAAAGAAAACCACCTCGATGGAGCACTGACCTGTGAATGCAGTGATGGAAAAGGGCTAGAGGGTACAGAACTAACCATGGTGTAGTCGGCCCTGAGCATTTATGCCCACAAGGGGGCAGAGACAGGAAATGGTGTGGCTTGGTCCTTCATCACACAAATGTATTTTGAGAGCCAATGGCCTGCTGGGGACCCCTGAAGATTTGTTTTTGTGGAGCCTAGCCACTAGCTTATGACAATCACAGAAAGAGCAGTTTTCCAAGGAGATGTGGGAGCACAGTGAGCAAGCACTCTGTAGAAGGAGAGCAGATGATCCCTGGAAGTAGAATCCTGGAAAGTCTATGTTTGCCAGAAAGGAGGGGAAATGAGGGAATGGCACTCTAAGCAGTGGGAACAGCATGTGCCAAAGCCCAGGGGCAGAAAGAAACAGGCAGTTTCGTATGGCTGCTGTGGGTGCATAAGAGGTTGTGATAGTTTTAAAATATGTGCACAAATTCTTTAACAGTTTTCCTTCAAGGCAGAGCCTAATCCCCTCCCTCTGACTGAGGGCAGGACTTGGTAACTCACTTCTACAGAACACAGTAGGATGGAAGTGGTAATGGATAACTTCCAAGACCAGATCATATAAGACGCAGTGGCTTCTTCATTGCTCTGTCTTGGACCACCTTTCCCGGGAAAAGCCAGCCTCCATGGTATAGAAACTCGGAGTCTTGCCTACAGCCAGCAGCAGCCTGTGACTGAGCCTCAGGGAATACAACCTCCTGCCCCTGCACCTGCCACAGGGTGCAGCCCCAGACAGCTTCTTTCTTCACTGCAACCACATGGAAACCCCCAAGTCAGAACTGCCCAGCCACCTGCAGACACTGAGAGATAATGGGTGTTTATTGCTCTTTTAACGCTGTTATCTTTTGAGGTAACTGATTACATCATAATGGATGACCAATTCAGGGGTGCTTTAGAGGAAGGACAGAGCTGGGCAGTGAGGCCTCCCAAAGCCCTGTGGAATGGAGGGGCGTAATGAGACTGGACTGTGTTGGAGACCTGGCTGTGCTGCCTCCTCTTCGGGGGTCTCAGTGTCTTTTATTGTCAAATGCATAGGCTGGGCCTGATGAGGTCTAGCCTCCCCACCAGGGTGGGCCCGTGCATGCCGACTACTACGAGGCACATTGCCATGGTCTGAGCATCTGTATCATCCTCAAATTCATATGCTGAAGCCTGGTCACTAATGTGATGGTGTTACAAGGTGGGACCTTTGGGAATCAGTTAGGCCATGAGGGCAGAGTCTGCACAGATGGGATGGGTGTCCTTATAAAGAGAAGCCTCAGAGAGCCGCCTTGCCCCTTTCCCTGTGAAGGACACAGGGAGAAGACAACCATCTGTGCATCAGAAAGCAGGAGGCTTTTCTGTGGGCCCCCCATCCCCAGGACTATATTGTCTCTAAGCCACCCAGCGTGTGGCGTTTTGTTAGAGCAGCCTAAACAGATGAAGACTCACCTCAAGGGAGACGCACGTATCTGGGGAAGGGCAAGGGCTGTAGAGAGGGGCTGGGAAGAGCAGAAAGAGCCTCCAGCCTTTCCTGCCCACCAGGGGACAGAGGATGTCACCAGGAGGCACCTCCAGCAGCGGGAAGATGGGGGTGTGTTGGGGAGGCAGGGCCTCCAATGGGACTCTTATCCTCCCAGTCCACAGCTCACCCTCAGGCCTAGCACGGCACTCACATCCATTACTCTTTTAATCCTCACCACAGCCCTGCAAGGAAAGCTTTTTATTTGTATTGATTAGTTTATCGATTGAGCCCAAACCTTGTTCCAGAAAGGCTTTAAGGTGGCAGGGACTTACAAACCAGCAGGAGCCGGAGTGAAAACGGGGCAAAGAGAGAAGAAAAATCAATGGTGGGTACTCAATGGCTGCACCTGTGACTCAAGCACTTGCAGCCTGGGCAGAGCCAGGCGCTGTGCCTTCTGAGTACCAGCGTGAGAGCAGAACTGGTCAGTTAGCAGCCTCCCCGATGCAAGTGTGTCTAAAAGGATCCACTTCTCAGGAGTACAGCTGTTTGACCACTCAGATGAGAAAAGAATTTCCCCAGGGATCTTTATGAAAAATGACAGTGTGACCGAATCAATAACACTAGATCCTTATAATAACTGAGTTTCAAGTGTGGTTCTTATAATAGCATGGCATCACAGCACAACTCAGGAAAAGCAATTCTATAACCATTCACACCAGGAAGGGGAAGAGAAGGAAGGGAGAGGCAGATGGAGGCCCAAGCCAGCCTGTGCAGGGCATGGAGGCAGCACAGGGACTGGTGTGACTGGGATGTGGTGGGGCATCCTGGGGTCACTGGGATACACTAGAGAGGGGTGTGTTCTCACTTTGCTGTGGGTCACCAAAGATTCCAGCGGAAAGAAGCAGCCCCCAGACAGGCAAGCAGACAGGATGGGACAGCAAGAGCCATGTCACCAGCTGTGGGTCCTTGGGCTGGGTGGGAGCTGACCCCACTCCAGCTCAAGCTGCCGGGTAGAGCCAGCCTCCAGACCAGAGGAACACAGGAAGCCTCACAAGTCTCAGGAAAATGCAGCGTGCTGGCAGCAAAGGGGGTGGTGCACAGAGATCAAGATATAGAGGATCTACTCCCATTTCTGCCATTTACCAGCCACAAACCAAGGGAACCCTGCAAGCTTCGAGTTCTCTACTGTAAATGGGCATAAAAATTCCTACTATACAGAGGTTTGTGGAGGACTGTGTGAGTTCATGTACTTAGCTTTCTGTGCCAAAGCCTTCATTTAGCAATATTCAAAAATGTTAGGTTTTATTCCTCCCTTTCCTAAGGTTTCACAGAGTTCTCAGAGTGCCCGCTAGGGGACGCCAGAAGGTGCCCCTGGGCT